TTTGCCGAATTTCGGCACGAAATATTCATGCCTATTTCTATCATAGAGGGTAATGTTTCCACAAAATCAATCTTTCCGCACAAAGCTAGCGAAGTTATGGCCAAAAAATGCTTTTCTCTGACCACTCTCCGCGGTTAGCATACTCTCTCAGCGGCTACGATCGTTCAATATCTCGGCGGCGCTTGCAAAGCGCGAGCTAAAGCTTTCAGGAATTGATATAATGTTCATGCCCGACATGTGCGCAAAATTTAAAGAAAATCTGAGCGTCGCTCTTGGGCTACTCCCCCTGTGAGATATTTATGGCCATGAAATGTCTTTATCTTACTGTTTTCCCTCCTCAATTTTTGCGTCCTCTCACCAAAAGTAATCTTTGACTAAATAAGTGCAAACTAAAGCTCTCAGGGATTGATATTTGGTCTTCGATGTTTTTTCAAAAAGTGCGTAGAATTTATTTCACTTTATTATTCTGCACATGTCTTTTTTACAACCCGAAATCAAACTATTGCAGGCCTTTTTCAACCGCAGCGTCGTGACAGACATTCAGTGCAAAGTGCAAAAAAGTGATAAAAACTCTAACAATGTGAGGATTTTTGAAAAAAGCGGAGAATTTCAAGTATCAGTCTGTGGGGAAAATCGCATCGTTGCCGTGAGAATGAATTGTCTCCGGGCAAAAGAGAATCGCATTTTTTCATTGTGACGCGATTGGTGTGCTGATTATTTTTCCTACTGGCTTCAGTGGGTGACCCGATCCAGTGGAAAAAACGTACCATTTTGCATCCAGGAAGCATCAAAAAATGTGGCAAAATGCTTCCCTCTCCAAGTGAAAAAACTTTGTTTTGAAAGGCGCGCCATTTGTCCTCACAAAAAGAGCGGGGGCGCTTTTGAAGTCTGAGTTTTTTCACTTGAAAAGGGAGGTATTTTGCCACATTTTTCAATGCTTCCTGGATGCAAAACAGTACGTTTTTTGCTACTGGATCTGGTTCCCGACTGTAGTTCGGCCAGACTCTGAAGCAATTCCATCAGCTTGACTTCAACAGCTACAACGAACCGTCACATGTTTACATCATTTAGTTTAGGTCTCTGTCTCCATTTCCCTTCCTCTGCTGACCACTAACCGTTCCGTTCTTCTCGCTCCTTCCAGCCATTTACATATTTACCTTCGCACCAAGCATGACTTATCCACTGCGCCGCAATCTACACCTTCCCCCCATTTCCTACGAAAACCCAATTACATTTTTTTCGGTTGAGTTAAAATGTAAAACCCCAGCACCAAAGTCAGAAAAGTCTTGCCGCGCATGCAATGTGCTGCCACTCGCTCGGTATAATTTACACCTGTCTGTTGGGGTGCACTGGCTTCGAATGTGGATGTAGGCTTTTCGGGGGGTGACAAAAGAACCTCGAAGAAGTTTGAGTGTACATAGCGAGTCTGTTTTGTAGGGCAAATGTTGAGTGATTTCGTACTGAGTTTCTACATACCTGCAGGCGGCGGTTGAGTGTTGTGGTGGTGGGGTATTATATGTATTAGTATATTTATATGACACTTTGATGTAAATAAATTGCGATTACTTCAGTGAAATGACACGTATTTATTTGCTAACCTTTGGAGTAAAGTATGATTTTTTGACAAACAAGTATAGTACAGCTTAGGTACAAAAAATCGAAAGGAGGGACAAAGAATTACTCGTTATTGTAAGGTTTTGTTATACCTCTTTTTGGCTTATAAGGGAAGTACCCCAAGTGCGACGCTCAGATTTTGATGAAACTTGGCACAAATGTAATTTTTTCTAAAATATACGCGAGACTCCTAGCTCGCGCTTTGCAGAAACAAGCGAGATTTTTAGATCGAAAGTTGGCAAAATTTTCATAATTTTTTAAAAAAGTTGGCAAAAATTCGACAATTTTTTGAAAATCGTTCAATATCTAGCGTCGCACTTGGGGGATTCCCTTGTTAGAATTGAATAACTTTTAGGACTTCTGAAATTATTTGTTATCGAAAAGTTTAGATGAAATTTCCCAATCCAAGTTTTTTGCAATCTTTGAGAGTGTTTGTATTACTCAATGTATTTCTCGCATACCTCTACGTGTTTTGCTGTTGATATTTCTGGTTATCAACTCATAGTTTTCAACAAGCTTGTCAACTCAGAAGAGTACCTATGCCCGAAGTATGTGCCAAGTTTAAAGGCAACCTGAGCATTGAACTTCGAACACTTCCCTTGTTTACCTGTGCATGCACTTTCGTCAAAAATACCGAGAAAGAAGCTTCTTGTTTTGAGACAGCCACCTCAAAATCCCTTCGTTTTGTAGTGAGTAATAGGCGGCTAAATCAGTTACAATTTTTTATGTGTTTTGAAGTTAGTAGGGGATGAGAGACTGGTTACTTTGGCTTCTTAATGAAGAAGTTGTGTCTTGAGGGAAAGATACCGTCAAATTTAAAGACCTTGGTGTACTTGATATACACTTGATCCAGCGGCAAAAAACGTGCTTTTTTGCATCCAGGAAATATTGAAAAATGTGGCAAAATACCTCCCTCTCCAAGTAAAAAAAAGTCCGATTTTAGCCGCTCTTTTTGTGGAGGAAAGAGCGCCCTTCAAAACGGAGATTTTCACTTGGAAAGGGCGGTATTTGCCACATTTTTTTATACTTCCCGGAAGAAAATGGCACATTTTTTGCCACTGGATCAGGTCCGCCACACTAATAGAAAGTTTCGCATTCAATGACTTCGGTTTACGGAAATCTTTGAGGCGTTCAGATATCCAAAATTTCGCTCAAGTCTCTGCCTTCATTTTGTTTTTTTCAAACATTTTTTTTCAATCATAACCGAAAATCAAACATAGAACACATCATCGGTATCTACTACCTTTTACCAACATTCCGACGATTATTCAATTCGCGAGCGTAATAACTGGGGTCGTTGGAATCAAAAAAAATCAGAATGCCCTGTTTTGAGATGGTCGAAAAAATCGAACGGCATCTCTCCCAAATGGCTGCTTAGCGATCTGAATAAATGCTAATCAGAAGATGCCAGAGCTGGGGTGTAGTGTGGATGGAGCAGCAAAGTCGCGCCATTCTCCTTGCTTTTTTACGCACGATTTTTTCACAGGGCATGTCGGCGAAATCACTCCCGCGACTTTGCGAAAATATTGTTGGCTGTTGGACCATGGCTGGAAAGAATTAATTTTTTTTGTAAAAATATTTTACACTTGCCTTCAAAAACGCCTCTGATTGTCAAGCCAACACTTTAGACTGTTCCCTTCCACTGAAAGTCTCAACAGTTTGTGCAAATGAGAAATAGGGCAATTTCACGCAACACGTATTTCACGTTTTCAGCCCATATTCCTTTCCCCCACATCTAAGCCAAGTCCTAAATATAGTCATCAAACTCTCCCTAAATCTTATATAACCCCTGCAATTGGCTATTCCCTGTCTTTTTCGCATATATATGTAATAATTAGCTTCTACGTCACCAAATGTCCTATTTTTCCGGGCCCTTTTTCATCCCCTTCGCTGCACTTGTTCACCAAAATATTTTTGCATAATTATCGCTTACTCTTATGACTTGTCGTATATAGCACCGTTGACAACACTCAACAGGTCGAGCTGTTGTTCAACCGTAAAAATTTAATATATCTGTTACTTCTGGAAGTGGGAACGAGTGGAGGGAGCGCTTTGGTTTATCACGTTTTAATTACTTTTTCGAGGATATCTAATTGCACAGCTCGTGGGTTGTACTAATAAATTATGTTTTTGGGAGAAAATATTTTGAAATCGGTTCGAGAGGATTGCATGGCGGATAAGGCTCACAAGTTTTCGGCTAAATCGACTTTTTTGATGTTTTTTTGGACCTTTCAAAACCTGGGAAAGGGTTGCAACAAAAAAGTTTTATTTTAAGGCAAGGTACCCCTTGTGACATGAACTAGTCTGTCGGGGAAATAATAACCAAGCTGTCGCATCGATGGTCGCATCGCCGCCGAGAAAGTGAACTGTGTCGCGACGAAAGCAATTTTCTTTTTACTTTAGCGACACGGTCGGCGCAGCGACATTGTTTTTTTGACAGGGTAATACCAGTTTCCACAAGTTCGCAATTCCAAGATCAAGTTAAGGTTGGGGCTTTCCAAAATTTCAAATTTCATGTGAAAGTTCAGCCAAGAAAAAGACGAGGTAAAGCTAAAGTGAAATTTCATTAATCAAGCTCAAACTAAAGTTCGGAACACAAAAAAACTGACTTTTTTGCTCACAAAGTCTAACAGGGGAAGTACTCCAAGTGCGACGCTCAGATTTTCTTTAAATTTTGCATACGCGTCGGGTATGGACTAAATATAAATTCCTGAAAGTTTTAGCTCGCGCTTTGCGGGCGCCGCCGAAATATCGAACGATTATTGCCGCCGAGAGAGCACGCTAAACGCGGAGAGCGGTCAGAGAGAAATGCGCTTTTTGGCCTAACTTTGGCAGTTTCGTGCGGAAAATTTTGATTTTTTGTAGAAACATTATTCTCTGCGTTAGAAATAGGCATGAAACTTTTCGTGCCGAAATTTGGCAAAAAGTCCTAAATTTTCGCCGACTTTCGATCTAAAAAACTCGGTTGTTTCTGCAAACCGCCAGCTAGGATTCTCGCATGTATCTTAGAAATAATTGTTTCAAATTTGTGCCAAGTTTCATCAAAATCTGAGCGTCGCACTTGGAGTACTTCCCCTGTAAGTTCCGTTGTGGAACAATCATATATATATATGAGTATTATACTCCTACACTGCCAAATACTGCTGTGAAATAACCGTTAATCAAACAACGATTCTATTTTTGCTGTATTTCCCAAGATTATCATGACCATTTCTCCTTTAACCTAAAACATCCGTGTAACTCCGTACATTCGCGAATAGTCAGCATTATTTCCCCTTGTGATATTACACGTCCAAACCCGTTTGCAGACCTCTTTTTTGCCGTCCACCCTTCCCGACAAAGAACCGAAACTGGCGGGTGTATTCTTATCATCGAACATTTGTTCGATGTCGACCAAGAAGATGGCGGAAGAGGAAGAGGACGGGTTCGACGACGTGGGCGCCGTGGAGCTGGATCCGCCGAGCGACGCCTATGCCCGCCCGAAAACACCTGTAAGCCCTTTTAGCATTTCGTTCTCGGCGCATATTGTAACGCAATTATGCTGCAAATGTAGTTTTCTCGGAGGGTTTCCAAAACAAAATTCGAAAGAGTCGTGTTCGCACAAACTTGAAGACCATGGGACTTGTTTTTGCGTTACGAGAGAAGGAAATTAAAGTAACACTGTCTTGTTCTCTTATTGTTTTGCATTCCTGCGCTACGTATGTTGCATTTTGATCGTTAAAAATCCTGTGGTAAAATTTCTCTAAGGTTTGTCGTAATCCAGGGGTCATACTGAGAATACCGTCTATATAAATACAATTTTGGACGAATGCATGTCCAGAGGCAAGAGCGTGGCATTCTAAAAGCACAGCTCATTAGAAGACATCCTAATCACCTAAAAAATCCAAAAATTCGACAATTTTTTATTATAGTGGCGGACCTGATCCAGTGGCAAAAAACGTACCATTTTGCATCCGGGAAGTATCAAAAAATGTGGCAAAATGCTTCCCTCTCCAAGTGAAAAAACTTCGTTTCACAAAAAGAGAGGGCACGCTTTTGAAATCGGAATCTTTTCACTTGGAGAGGGAGGTATTTTGCCACATTTTTTGATGCTTCCCAGATGCAAAATGGTACGTATTTTGCCACTGGATCAGGTCCACTGCCGTATCTTATTATATGAAGTTTTTCTTTCAGAAACGGCAGCTAAAACCGCGCGGGCCCTTGCAACGTCCTATGACATCGTTGAAGAGCTTCAACGCTCGAGCATCAACGTCGTCGGCTTCTTCCAGATCAACCTCCTCAACAAACGATGGGCGCGTGGGCACAGCGCAGTCCGTCAACAGCACAGTTTCGACAATTTGTAAGGTTGTTTTGAAACTTTTCATACGCTAGATGTTTACTATGTAAACCGGCCAAACAATCATTTTTTATTTTTTACACAGCAAGTACAATCTCAAGATAACTCAAATTGCTTGCGTGTTACTTTAATGCGGAGCCTGGTCCGCCAATTTTAATTGATTAAAAGACGATTTTTGGCTCGCTGCGTCAGCGGTGGACATAGGAAAAAATCGATTTTGGGTTTTTTGCATAAAAATGACCGTCGACATGTGCTAAGGAAAAGCGAACAACAGTTTTTCTCAATTCTGCCCGGAAGGCATAAATTTGCTTAAATTTGTCTTTTTTGGAATTTTCGACCTGGTGACGTGATAGAAAGAGCAAATCGCCCAAAATTATGCTTGTATACGTTTTCGACCATTGGGAATTCATTTTTTTGAAAATTAAGTCTCTCAGATTACTGTAACATAGGCATATTGTAATCCGGTCGATAAAAATCGACCGTAACTCCTTCGTATCAAAAATCCCACAGGATTTTATTTCAGATTCGGAATCAGCATAAAATTCTGCATATTATACACATAATGTGAGGTCATAATTCCAGGGGGGAGATCGCGTAGTATATTGGATTTTGGCAAAAATTACGTTTGAAAGGTCGCGGGTTCGATCCCCGCTTGGTGCAAATATTGAAAACACAGCGGAAATCGCGTTTAATGGATACCTCAGGGTTATGTGAGATACAATAAGCAATTTTAAACATTAACGCGTATCTAATTGCGATTAAAACTGATTTTATATAATTTTTGGAGACTGAATATGCAAAAAATGAAACTGCTTCAAACCGCTTGAAATTGGCAACACTTATTCTAGGGTCAATTATAAGAAACTTTTGTGTTAACTTTTTTCGGTAGATCACCGTACCATGGATTATTGTAACATTAAACATGATTTGGTTTTTCGTGTACCACATGGCGCAGAAAAGTCGGACTGTCGTCATTGTGCTCAGAATGGTTAAGAAAGAGTTTTCTTGTGTACAAAAAAAATTTTATGGCTGTACCGTTTGGAACGGCCGAATTATTTGACGCACTTTCACCATTTGATTATGACATCAAGACGCGTTACAATTAAGGGCGAATTTTCTTTCAGATATTGAAAGTGGATCTTTTCGCTGTCTAAAGCGACTAATTAAAACGATTTATTATTTTATGCAAGAATTTTGAAGAAAATTGCTGTTAATCAGGACACGTTTAATGCTACAGTAATCCATAGTACGGTGATCTACCGAAAAAGTTAACACAAAAGTTTCTTACAATTGACCCTAGTATAAGTGTTGCCAATTTCAAGCGGTTTGAAGCAGTTTCATTTTTTGCATATTCAGTCTCCAAAAATTATATAAAATCAGTTTTAATCGCAATTAGATATGCATTAATGTTTAAAATTGCTTATTGTATCTCACATAACCCTGAGGTATCCATTAAACGCGATTTCCGCTGTGTTTTCAATATTTGCACCAAGCGGGGATCGAACCCGCGACCTTTCAAACGTAATTTTTGCCAAAATCCAATATACTACGCGATCTCCCCCCTGGAATTATGACCTCACATTATGTGTATAATATGCAGAATTTTATGCTGATTCCGAATCTGAAATAAAATCCTGTGGGATTTTTGATACGAAGGAGTTACGGTCGATTTTTATCGACCGGATTACAATATGCCTATGTTACAGTAATCTGAGAGACTTAATTTTCAAAAAAATGAATTCCCAATGGTCGAAAACGTATACAAGCAAAATTTTGGGTGATTTGCTCTTTCTATGACGTCACCAGGTCGAAAATTCCAAAAAAGACAAATTTAAGCAAATTTATGCCTTCCGGGCAGAATTGAGAAAAACTGTTGTTCGCTTTTCCTTAGCACATGTCGACGATCATTTTTATGGAAGAAACTCAAAACCGATTTTTTCCTATGTCCCGGGTCCATTACGGGCTGACGCAGCGAGCCAAAAATCGTCTTTTAATTTGTTACAGCATCGGGCTCCGATGACTACTCAATTTCGTTGCCGTCAACAAAGTCGCCGTTGGTCATCAAAAGTCAGAAATCAAACCCGAACATGTCAATCACAGCACGAGGTCGGCACATGTCGCAAGACGACGGCAGGCTCTCTAGACAGTCAGCGATGACATCTTATAGTACCAGCACTCTGGACGTCTCCAATATCCAGCTGACTCTGCGAAAAGTCGACAGCAAAGGGAGCTTAATCAGCACGACCTCGGGCCTTTCGAGTAATGCGGAAGGAACGGCCGAGAAAACGAATGGAAACGGGAACATGCAAACGTTAATGGTCAATGGAGATGAGGAGAGGAAAATGAGCTTACGTAGGTTGATTTGAACATGCAGTAAATTTATGCGGACAAGATTTATAAGCATGTTTAATCCATAAAACATTTCAGATGACACCACTGAAGAAGAGGTTTTGGCAGTGCGACTTCGATCGCTGAAAACCAGTGTTCTTCCACGGCCGGAGGGACAGGTGACGGTGATTCAAACTCAGAATCCGTCAACGGTAAGAAAAATGAAGAGGGAATCGACTACTAGTTTTTTAAGTCGCTGGAATGATTTCGGCGACATGCACTATCAGAAAAACATAAGTTTACAGTGACGGACCCGATCCAGTGGCAAAAATAAAACCGTTTTGCTTTTTTGCATGTATTTTTGTATATCCGGGCAGCACCAAAAATGTGGCAAAATGCTTCCCTCTCCAACTGAAAAAACTTCATTTCTCACAAAAAGAGGGGGCGTGTTTTTGAAATCGGAGTTTTTTCACTTGGAGAAGGAAGTATTTTGCCACACTTTTGGTACTTCCCGGATGCAAAATGGTATGTTTTTTGCCACTGGATCAGGTCACCCACTGCACTTTTCTCTGTGAAATTTTCGGTTTTTTCACAGTTCATGTCCCCGAAATCACACCATCGATTTTGCCAACATCTTGATATGCACCATTACCCAAAAATTATCAACTTTTTTTCCAGTCCACCCAACCGTCCAACGAAGAGAACCGCTGGAAGTCGGCTTCGAAAGAGGAGACCGAGTACAGCGCACCCGCCCGTCCAGTCAGCCAATACTTGGGCGAGCTGGTGTGGCAGGTCGACAAGATCGTCTACTGCGGAGGAGTGAAGGCCGTGCAAAACCTCAACCTTCTCTGTCGCCTCAACATCGAATACATTGTCGATCTGACCGGCGACGACGAGGAGCAATTGGCTAGGTATTCGAGGTACGTCCGCACGAGATTTATTATCATTTTCTGCTTTTAGGCCGCGACAAGACTACCCCTGTTTGTGTTCAAGAAAGACGGCACACAGCCGGATGACCATGACAATCAATATTAAGGATGACTCGCCGCCAAACTCGACACGACGGATAAATGATGATGATGACAGCACGGTAAGCTAATGCTGAGTACAGTGAGAGATCTGATCCAGTGGCAAACAACGTATCATTTGCATCCGGGAAGTATAAAAAATGTGGCAAAATGCCTCCCTCTCCGACTAAAAGAATGCCGTTTTGAACTGCTCGCCTTTTTCCTTCACAAAAAGAGTGGACGCGCTTTTCAAATCGGAGTTTCTTCACTTGTAGAGGGAAGTATTTTGCTGAATTTTTGATACTTCCCTGATGAAAAATGGTACGTTTTTGGCCGATTGATCGGGTCTGCCACTGTAAGCGAGAGACGTCTGAAGCGAATTTTTGGACCGCAAAGTTTACCCGCTATACGGGTCTGTCGAGAAAATATTGCTTCAGCGACGCGATTTGGCGCACCAGCATTGCGCTCATTACTTTCCCGACAGGCCGCTAGACGGGTTTCGCTGTAATGGCGTTAATTTTGGCTTTTAAGCCAAGAGTTTTTAAAAACTAACATTTGTGACCTCTGTATAAACCAAATATGTCCATAAAAATATACGAATTTTCAGAGCGCCGAAATCATCACATACTTCGAAGACTTGATGCATGTTATTCGTAAAGCCAGAATTAGCAATAAGAAAGTTGAAAGTTTTGACTATTATAGTTGGGGACCTGATCCAGTGGCAAAAAACGTACCACTTTGTATTCAGTCACGGTTAAACATTGTATCAAAAAAATGTGGCAAAATACCTCCCTCTCCAAGTGAAAAAAAACTCCGATTTTAAAAGCGTGTCCACTCTTTTTGTAAGGAAAAAGGGCGCGCCCTTCAAAACGAAGTTTTTTCACTTGGAGAGGGAAGCATTTTGCCACATTTTTGATACTTCCCGGACGCAAAATGGTACGTTTTTTGCCACTGGATCAGGTCCCCCACCGTATCTAGATTTCTCTTTTATCTGTCTAGTTGAGTAGTAATCCACTAATTTCAGAGGAGTTCTGATTCATTCCATAAAAGGTCGAAACCGCGCGCCGGCTTTCGCTGCCGCCTATCTGATGAACATTCAGAGGTGTACAAGGGTTCAGGCGCTCAGCCAGGTCGCTGAATTGGTAAGGCAAAAGACACTTATTATAGTTGCTTTTTCGCGGGGCATTTCAAAATTCCCTTCTTTTCAGATGTCCAAAACCCGGCCGGGAATGGACGTCTCAAGTACGTTGCACAGGGCGCTGATGCGATGGCAAAGCATGCTCGGAATACGGTCCAATGAAAACGTGTTGACTCAACAAACGGCGGATATGTTTAGCATTAAACGGAAAACTGCTTGGAATTAGAACCGCTTATTCGTGTTCAATAAATTGATTACAAAATTCGCATTTGAATTCAAAATTCGTCTGACCGACCATCCCCATTTTATCCGCCATTTTCGACAAAGGGTAACTCTACAGTGGGGGACCTGATTCAGTGGTAAAAAAAACTTACCATTTTGCGTCCGGAAAGTATCAAAAATGTGGCAAAATGCTTCCTTCTCTAAGTGAAAAAACTCCGTTTTGAAGGGCTTCCCTCACAAAAAGGAAGGGCTCGCTTTTTGAAACCTGAGTTTTTTCACTTGGGGAGGGAAGCATTTTGCCACATTTTTGATGGTTCCCAAATCGTACGTTTTTTGCCACTGGATCGGGTCCGTCACTGTATTATATAACTCGGCAGCGACTACAAAACAAAAGCTAAAATTTTGACGGCCTCTATCTGTGGCGGATCTAATCCAGTGGCAAAATAGGTGCCATTTTGCATCCTGGAAGTTTCAAAAATGTAGCGAAATACTTCCCTCTCCAAGTGAAAAAGATTCCGATTTGAAAAGCTCTTTTTGTGGGGGAAAAGGCACCATCAAAACAGTTTTTTTTAGTTGGAGAGGGGGCATTTTGTCACATTTTTTATACTACCCGGATGCAAAATGGCACGTTTTTTATCACTGGATCACATCTGTGTCGCTGTATACATCACTTTGACGGGAAAATAATGTGGATTTTTAGCTGAAAAATCTCTCGCTGCGGCTAGCCCTCGCAAAGCTTGCATGGGCGATGCCAAGGGTCGACAAATCCACATTATTTTTCCGACAGGCTGATATCTCAATATTTGAAGAACATCAAAAATTTCACGTAGGGCTATTTAAAAGCGCAAAAAAATCGGTGTAAAATACGACGGTGATATAAACCTGATTTTAAACGATATCTCGGCATCATATTCACCGTAAAAACGAAGAAACTTTATTTTCGCTACAAAACAGAACAAAAAACAAAATAAATAAATAACATCCAACGCATAAAAACAGATGATAAAGTAGCAACAACAACAACAAAAAAACAGAATGAAAAAATACCCTAAACAACCCGGAAACTTCCTCAAACCCTCTCTAAAATCATGCAAACTTAACAAAAACAGAAACCAAAAATCTCATTCCTTCTTCTGCAACCTCTTCCGTCTCTCGAAATCAACTTTCACATAGACCAAATGCAGCGCGGCCATGGAGTCTTCGACCGGGCAATGGCCATTTTCTTGGATCCGGATTCCCATAAACATCTTGGACAGGGCTTTCAGAGAATGTTTTGAGTGACGATGAGAAACATGGAAGACCATGGAGGTGTCCACAATGTTATGATGGACCAATTTTAGGGCGCGAAGATCAAATTCGAGACTATGGCCAATCAAAATGGTGTTCTGATTGACGTAACGGAACATGAGTCGCTTCACCTGGAAAGCATGGCTAATTAGAGGTGGAAAAAAGTGGAAATAGGAGAAATTTTTCGGATTTTGTCGATAATTTATATTAATTTAGATTCCAAACTGGGTTCGGTTATATTCTACTTGATTTTCGGATGGAATATTGGGAAAATGAGTGCCTAGAAGGGAAGAGTTGGTATTGTTGAGAGGTGGAGGGTTATAAATAAGGGTTAAACGCCTGATTCAGCAATTCTGCATTGATTTTTTTTGGATTTCATCGATAATTTATATTAATTTAGACTCGAAACTGGATCCATAGATTTTTTCAACATCTACTTATAGTGGCGGACATGATCCAGTGGCAAAAAACGTACCATTTTGCGTCCGGGAAGTATCAGAAATGCAGCAAAACACCTCCCCCTCCAATTGAAAAGACTCTGATTTCAAAAGCGCGCTCGCTCTTTTTATGATCGAAAAGGCGCGCAATTGAAATCGAAGTTTTTTCACTTGGAGAGGGAAGCATTTTGCCACATTTTTGATACTTCCCGGATGCAAAATGTTACGTTTTTTTTGTCACTGGATCAGGTCCGTCACTTTAAGTAGGTGTTGAAAAAAATCTACGGATCCCAGTTTCGAGTCTAAATTAATATAAATTATCGATGAAATCCAAAAAAAATCAATGCAGAATTGCTGAATCAGGCGTTTAACCCTTATTTATAACCCTCCACCTCTCAACAATACCAACTCTTCCCTTCTAGACACTTATTTTCCCAATTTTCCATTCAAAAATCAAGCACAATACAACCCAACCTACATCACACAAACTCATCTTCACTCCAGCCATCATTTCCTTGGTGATCCCGGAAAACAGCGTATTATGATCCACGATTTCATTCTCCGGCCGGCAAAGACGATCAAAAACCAAGTCGCCTTTCCAGTCGACCATCACCACCCTGGCAATTTCACATCCCCCAGTTGTGTAAACCATCTCACAGTCCAATGAGTAAACTTTCATTGATCGCTCATCAGTGGGTCCTTGAGGAGTGGGGGTTCTTTTAAATTCGAAAACGAGGGATTGACGTTGAATTTGATTATGAACATGATAATTTAGTCTCGAACATCCTTCAGATTCATATGGGAGTCCGCAACAAAAGTATTTGTCTCCGTAGGGGGAGGGCTGGGGATTTACTGAAAGGGAAATTATTTTGAGGGCAAAAAAATGAGTCTACAATATCAAAAACTTCAAAAATTTTTAGCTTTTTTTCGGCACAAAAATTTTTGGTCCCGCCACGAAAACCTTCCAAATTGGAACAATTCATCATAACGCTTTTCCATCCCCTCCAAATAGCTTCCTTTCTTACAATGGCGGACTTGATCCAGTGGCAAAAACGTGCCATTTTGCATCCGGGAAGTATCAAAAATGTGGCAAAATGCTTCCATCTCCAAGTGACAAAAAAAAAACTTCGTTTTGAAGGGTGCGCTTTCCCTCACAAAAAGAGCGGCTGAAATCGGAGTTTTTTCACTTGGAAAGGGAGGTATTTTGCCACATTTTTTGATACTTCCCGGATGCAAAATAATATATTTTTTGCCGTTTTCTTCACAAAAAGAACGCGCGCGCTTTTGAAATCTGAGTTTTTTTTCATTTGAAGAGGGAGGTATTTTGCCACATTTTTTGATACTTCCCGGATGCAAAATGGAACGTTTTTTGCCACTGGACCAACTCCTCCACTGTAGCTTTCCTTCTTACATTTCTTTTTGTCCTTCGGTTCCCTCTTTGCTGGTTTCTTTCCCCAATGATAAACACAATGATCTTCCTTGTTCTCCATCGAATACTCCTTGACATTGAAAACTTTTTGGCATCGAAGACAATTTCTGAGTTCTGCCGAAGGCGCAACAAATCGCCGATCATGTTCGGTGGCAATATACACTCCTTGGTATCCGTTTTTGGTGGTCCTAGACATCGGAAATCCATTCAGTTCCAGGAGTTTTTGAGACAAAACGTATTTGTCCTGGAAACAAGGGATTATTAAGAAAATTACCTCATTTTTCTCAAAAAATCTTCTGAATTTTCAAGACAATGAAGCTCCTGGAAGCCCACCAGATCAATCAAAAATACAATCCGAAGGCTCACTTTTGATAAACAGCTAGAAAAATCCTTAATTTCCCAATAACCTCCATCAACCCCCTAAAACAATATAATTGTCTAAATTTTTGACAAAATCTTTTATTTTCAAGCACTAAATTCATTAATCTATTCTTCACCAGCACTTCAGACAGTAAGACACAATAATCACAGCGGGAAAGACTAAAAATAACCGTCACCTACCTTCAATTCATTATAAAACTCGGCTTCATTCACTGATTTCATAAATTCAAGAGCTCTTTTGTGCTGTTGAGCCTGCTTCGACGGTTCAGTGGATTCATTAGACATCTGATTAGACATTTGACAAGACTGAAAAGGCATTAGATATTAATTAGACTTAGGATATCCAAATGGATATTAACCATGGGCGCCATTAGAGACCAAAAATAAAAACCAATTTTTACAATATTTTCAGATCACAAATGCAGAATAAACACGGATATACAATCAAATGATATTCTGTGATATTCTATATACTCAATTCGATGACTTTTTCAGAGATTGGATCCAGGTTCTGATCGAACTTTATGGAGCATCAGTTGAATACAAGCTGAAGAATCTTCTTTTGAGCAATGCCCTGATGTGTCTTCTTGGATAATTTTCTGCAGATATTCCGAGGCCAGGGTGCGGAGAGCTCGTTTGAATGGGGGGCCGAGGCGATGGGGGAAAACTATGGCCGTATCGACCACTTTGCGGTGGACCAACCTCAGGGCACGCAAATCCGATTCCAAACTGTGTCCAATCAAAATTGTTTCGGAGTTTATCAACTCAAAAAGCTTTTTGCGGGCCTGAAATTGCATAATTTAGTAATAAAACCACCAAAATTTAAAAAATGGACAAAAAATTATTATATTATACTAGCCAAAAACAATCAAAATTTCAATTTCCCACCTTATCCAAATCGTACTCCGCTTTCTCCAGCATCTCTTCCGTCAATCCCGAAAACTTGGTATTGCAATCCAGTACCTTGTCCTTCGGCTTGATGATTATATCAAGGACTTCTTCATCATTCACATCGACCACTGAAACTCTAGCCACCGACATTCCCCAGGTGGTAAAGACCATCTCGCAATCCATTGCGTAGACCTTGTTCGACCTTCTGTCGTTCTTGTCGATCGGTGGCGGAGTCCTGCAAAACTGTTGGAGGACGCTTTTTCTCATCGTTTCGTGCACATGAACACTCTGAATGGCGCATCCTTTGACGGTCAATTCTCCGTCGCAACAGGCGTAGCGAGATTCCAAAGTCTTATTGACTAAAAATACAAATCATATGCTGAAGCCCCGTATTTTACAAACTAAAAATTAAAAAATAAACACCGATTGATTCTAAAATTCTACTACTTGCTATCCAATAAAAATTCAGCTCCAATTAAAAAAACTTTCATCAAGAAATCACCTTATTTTAGTTATCTGTCAACAACAAAAAGACGGAACTGGGACGATTGGGGAAAAGTACGATTGGGGAAACCGAACAGTATTATTTTTCTTCGACGCCAATGTCGAAATTAGGATAATCGAGGGTGTTGATTTCGAAAATGACATTCATTTTTTGAATGTTATTTTTTTCCTTATAGTACAGTGAGGGACCTGATCCAATGGCAAAAAACGTCTCATTTTGCATCCCTGAAGGGACCAAAACGTCTCCAAACCCTTCCCTTCTCTAAGCTAAAAAACTCCGCTTTGAAAAGCGCGCCCTTTTGCGCTTCTCTCTTTCTTTTGGCCTTCTGTATTTGCCGAATTTTATTGTTTTTTCCCGGAGAATGAGAATGCAAGAAAAGAAAAAAGCGCGCGATTTTTGATTGCTAATATTGTTGGAAGCAGTGGGAGCTAGCGCTCTCTTAATGAAGGAAAGGGCGCGCTTTTCAAAGCGGAGTTTTTAGCTTAGAGAAGGGAAGGGTTTGGAGACGTTTTGGTCCCTTCAGGGATGCAAAATGAGACGTTTTTTGCCATTGGATCAGGTCCCTCACTGTAGTACTGTAAAGTAGTAATTTTAAAATTTTTTTCATAAACACTCGATTTAGGGGTTTTCGATGGTTCTGATTTCGAAAATCATCATGTTAACTTTTCCTCCAGTACTATATAGTACTATCTGATACTACGTAATACGAGGTATATCAGCATCATCGAAAACTCCTAAATCGAGGATTTATGAAAAAAATTTAAAAAGTACTACTTTACAGTACTATATTTAAGGAAAAAAGTGACAATCAAAAAAATTAATGTCATTTTCGAAATCAGCACCCTCGATTATCCTAATTTCGACATTTGCATCGAAGAAAAATAATACTCTTCGGTTTCCCCAATCGTCCCAGTTCCGTCTTTTTGTTGTTGACAGATGACCAAAATAAGGTAATTTCTTGATGAAAGTTTTTTTTAATTGGAGCTAATTTTTATTGGATAGCAAGTAGTAGAATTTTAGAATCGATACTCAACCCAAATATGCCTCAAAATTCGACTCACTTCTCCGTTTATAGGCCCTTTTCCAATGGAAGACGCAGTCTTCTTGTTTGACAAAACTTCCGTCCTTTTTCAACCCGTATTCAGCGCCACATCTACAGCAAGTCCTCTTGAGCTCAGTGTCTTCAATGAACATCACTTTCTTCTCATCAGCACTTTTTATTTCGACTGTTGGCTTGCCATTTACCTTGACGACTAATGGATATCCATTATCCTTTAGAAGCTGATCCGTCATCAAATATTTCTCCTGAAAATTAACAATAAACTAATTTCTCTACTCTTCATACTCTTTCAAACAAAAAAATCATCATTTTGAACTAACAAATTTTCATTTTTTCAAACTTTTAATCTCATTATTACCTAAAATAATATCAAAAAGTAACTCAAACCACTTCAAATCCTCTAATTTATGTTCCCTTTCCTCTTAAAAAGTCTAAAAACTAAATATACATCGAATTTAAAAAGAATATTTTTCTTTTTTCACCTTTCTGACCTCAATTTTGCCTAAAGTAATATCCGAAATTTCCAAAAACCCTTCCAATTCCCTCAAACAACAATTTTTACCTTCAAAATCCTGTAGAATTTTTCCTCATCCACTCGTTTCTTCGTGTGTTGCGACCGGATCTCCGTCACCGAAGTTTTCATTTCATTCGTTTGGTCCAACTTAAAACCGCCCGATCTGATCACGCGGACCACGCCGACCATCAGCGAAGTATATCCGCTTTGAGTGGAGCTTTTGTCCAGAATCGCCTTCTCTTCCCGTTGCGACATTTGAATGCATTGGCCGGGTAGAAGATCATGTTTGCAAAACTCATTGTACAACATTTTCAGGTACTTGGTTCGGAAAGCGACCGGAATTTTGGACGAATGCATGTCCAGAGGCAAGAGCGTGGCATTCTAAAAGCATAGCTCATTAGAAGACATCGTAATCAACTAAAAAAAATATAAAAATTCGACAATTTTTTATTACAGTGGGGGACCTGATGCAGTGGCAAAAAATGTACCATTTTGCATCCAGGAAGTATCAAAAAATGTGGCAAAATACCTTCCTCTCCAAGTGAAAAGCTCCTTTTTGAAGGGCGCGCTGTTTCCCTCAAAAAAGGGTGGCTGAAATCGGAGTTTTTTTTCACTTGGAGAGAGAGGTACTTTGCCACATTTTTGGATACTTCCTGGATCCAAAATGGCACGTTTTTTTGCCACTGGATCAGGTCCCCCACTGTAGGTTCTCTGTCTAAGAAACCATGGGTTGCTAAGGTATGCATTAATTTCACAGTAGGATATTCAAGCTGTCTAGTACTGATGTGACCAAAAAAACATATCATTTTGCATCCGGGAAGTATCAAAAAATGTGGCAAAATACCTCCATCTTCAAGTGAAAAAAACTAGGATTTCAAAAGCGCACCCGCTCTTTTTGTGAGGGCCCTTCAAAACAAAGTTTTTTTTCATTTGGAGAGGGAGGCATTTTACCACATTTTTGATACTTCCCGGATGCAAAATGGCACGTTTTTTGCCACTGGATCAGGTCCCCCACTGTACACTAGACCTTACATTTCCAGAATGCGCTGTTCTTGTTTCTCCTTTGCTGACTGTAGAGCTGGCCGTTCTATTACTTCCATTACCCGTCGCCCATTGTTTTGCGACTTTATTTATCATACTTGGCGCTGTTTTCGTCCCTCCAACAGCTCTTTTTTCGGCCGCTAATTTTAGACTAATGTTGATGGGTTCATTTTTCTTTGCCAGATTTGCTTTTTGCGCTGATTCTAGTCGATTTAGCATCTGATTTTTCGCTGTGATCTTCCCATTTACTATCCGTTTTCCCATCGAGTTCGCAGTCAGAATTGGAGTCGTAATTGCCGACGAAGTCGTGGGTTTCTCTTCGACCATTGGCTTTGATGGCTAAAAATTGAAAAAAAAATCCGGCCACGGACAAAACCAACTTACCTCCGCTTCAAAGAGCGAATCCACAAAACTTGGATCATGTTTCATTTGATTCTAAAAGCAAAATCTCATGAATAACGCAAAATTTCTTACCCTTCGCCCTTCGATTTCCTTGATTTGGGCATCAATATCCGCCGCTTTATGAAGATTCTTCATGTACATGTCGAAAAGTTTGGCCTTTTTCTCCAATTCTTCCAAATGTTCTTGAGTTAGCTTCCGTTTCTTGATCGAAACCTCATCTTCTTGTTCTTCTTTCATCAATTCTTTGCTGTTTCTTCGTTTCGTATGCAGTTCGGAGAGTTTTATTGGTCGAGGAGGCTCAGGTTTCTTCGGCACCTTCGTCTTGACCACCTCCTTTTCTTTCTTGGCTTCTGGATTCAAATTAAGTAGAATATCGTCCTCGCCGAGGTCAACTGGAAGTGCTGGTTTGTCCATCATACTGAACTCGACAGCTTTGGCCTAGAAACCGCCAAATTACCAATCAGTTTCATCAAAAATAGGCCCATTTTACCTATGTTCCAAAAAAAAATAATAAAAATCCTTACCTTTACCGGTTCCTTCGTTTTCTTCTGACTCTCAGCTTTCTTTCCCAACGGATCGTAGGGATTGTACATGGGCTCCGCCGGCGCAAATGGCTCATCTTCATCCTCATCTTGAGCATAATAACCTTGATATGAGTATTCATCATAAGTTTCCTGTTGAATTACAACTGGACCTGACGGGATTTCAGTCGTTTTCTTCTGTGGAATGAGTCCTTCTTTGACGAGATCAGTTGCGGAACGTTCGGGACTTCGAGGAGTGTTGATCGCTAAAAAATTGTACTGTTCATGAGAAGAAACTCAAAATTTTCTCAAAAACTACTGAATTTCAGATTCCAAAAGATGCTTCTCATCGAATAAGAAAGATTATTCACTTGTGAGTCTAACTTGACCTCATTTTATTTATTTTTCCTAAAAATTCAACAATAAAAATGTTATTTACCCGTGTGATTGTATCTGCAATATGGCCTTCGGCATTCAAAGCCATCTGCACATGGAAGATGGGAGAACACGCTGGAGATCGGGATCATTTCCACACTCAAAGGTCAAGAATTGTCGAAATCTTCCGCAAACTTTTTTCCAGTCAATTGTGGCGTTTCGTTGTGACACTACGCCGAAACTGAAAATAAAATAATTTTTGCAAAATTTTCTCGGATTTTCGAGAAATTTGGACGATCTCCAATGCCGTCGACGTCAGAAAACCCTCTAAATGTTGATTTCGAATGTTCTAAGCTCGGAACGAAGGAATAGTATGTTGTTTTAGTCTTATTTTTATTAATCTTTAGTTGGGACCAAAGATACGCGCAGGACCTTGAAACTTTCCGAGATTGTGGAGAAGAAGGTGAAATATGGTTTGGAAAGACTGCAGAGAACAGGATCATCAAGTTTGTAAGGGAGAATGTGCCCCAATCAGCGGCTATATTGGACTTGGGTTGCGCGAATGGCAGCATTTTGAGAAAATTGGTACGAACTCGTTGCGACTTTTTTCAATATTCGATCTTTTGGTATTTTGAGCAAGCACTGACATTTTTCTTTCAGTTTTACAAAGGATATCGTAACCTCTTTGGTGTGGATTATTCAGAAACAGCAATTCGATTAGCAAAAGAGTGCGTGGAGAATGATGAAGATGTAGATTCTCCAGAGTCGTTTCAATTCGAAACTGTTGATCTCACCTCTCCTGATGCTCTTCCTGACTCTTTGAAAGCAAAATTTGATTCTTTAATGGACAAAGGAACCTGGGATGCGATTTCTTTGGGATCAAATCCATCCGACCTTATCCACCGATATGTTCAATGTTTATCGGCTTTATTCAACGATGAAACCGAGGGAAATCAGTACTTTGTGATCATATCTTGCAACTTCACAGTGTAAGTAAAATTTCAAACTTTGTTCTTCTTTGATTTTAGGCTGAATTCTCTTTCAAAACGCTTATTTTAGCGAAGAGCTCACGGACTTTTTCACAAAAGATGGGCGTTTCGAAGTGCACGCTGAATTGCCAAATACGAATACGTTTTGCTTCGGTGGTAAGGTTGGAAAGACCACTTCTGGCATGGCTTTCAAGAGGATACGATAGAAAAAAATATTGATTTGGCCTTAATTTTTGTTGATGATGTTAAGTTTGTTATTAAAACTTTGGGTTAATCTTGCGACAAGGTGTTGCGCGATGAAAACTCGGTGGGGTGCGAAAGAGGAACGCACTGTGCGTTGTTTACCCTATTCCAAACAATCTTTTTGCATTGTGCGGTGTCGCAGCGCACCGTGAATATTGCTGAATTTCATCGATTGCGACCCCGCACGGATTACGACCCAGCATCGATTGCGACCCAAAATGTGTTTGGTTTTTTCGGGAAAAAGTTGGTTTAGGGGTTTTCGAGGGTGCTGATTTCGAAAATCGTGTTCATTTTTTCTAAACTTGACTAGCTCGAGACCTAGATCAAGGTGATTGCTCAAAAACCCCGGAAATGGGGTTAGTGGCTGATTATGATGATCAACGCGAGCTTGGTCACGACCTGACCTAAAAACATGTCCATCATACTCAACCACTAACCCCATTTCCGGGTTTTTTGAGCAATCGCCTTGACCTAGGTCATGACCTAGGTCGCGAGCTGGTCAAGTTCAGAAAAAATGAACACGATTTTCGAAATCAGCATCCTCGAAAACCCCTAAACCAACAATTTCCCGAAAAAATCAAAAAATTTTCACCCCGAAGTCGCTTTACCCCATTTTGGGTCGCAATCGACCGCAGTCGAAGTCCAAGGATTCCAACTTTGTTTGTCGCCGCACGGAAAATTCTTGGCCCGACGGCGCACTGTGCAGACATGTCAAGACTTTTTGGCCCGCCATTTTTTTGTTAGTTGAAACCGACCGATTGTTGTCTAAAGTAAGGTTTAAAAAGTAGAAATTTTGCCGAATTTCCCTTTCTCATGACTTCAAATAAATACCTCGAAAATTTGCACAATCGCCAAAAATTTGCGACGCCGCCATCACCCTGAGCGTCAGTCAAACCTTTTTCTCATCGAACCGAGCGGCCGTGCGTGAGCGATGAGCGACGATCCGCTGCTGGAGAAGACGATCCGTGACAAGATCGAGATCGATTCAGTGCAGGCCGGCGACCCACATGCGCATAAGCCCTCCGAGTTCTACGCGCCCTACCTGACGCTGCCCTACTACCATGGGCTGGTGACGAAGCCTGATGTTCCAGAGTTGTTGGGCAGAGGCGGCGAGTTCATGCTGCGATTCGCATGTCCGGAGGTGTCGGGCCAACCGATGAAGCCGGTGCTGTCCATTCATCCGGTTGGTGGGGATAAAGAGTCGGCGAGTTTTTGAGATTTTTTATTTTTTTGCCTTGCATGTTAGTAGAGCGAGTTTAACATTAATTTTCTGTCAGATAGTACATGTAGAAGTCAAGGTGAACAATGGAAAGTACTCAGTAGACTCCAGCCGCTCTTTTGACACTATTGAATCGCTGGTGAATCATTACCAATCCAATAAAGAATCGATTCCGGGACATGTGAGTACCTACAGTGGCGGACCTGATCCAACGTACCATTTTGCATCCGGGAAGTATCAAAAATGTGGCAAAATGCCTCCCTCTCCAATTAAAAAACTCCCTTTTGAAGGGCGCGCTTAAGGGAGGTATTTTGCCACATTTTTTGATACCTTCCGGATACAAAATGGCACGTTTTTTGCCGCTGGACCAGGTCCGTCACTCTACTGCAATATCATTATTTTCAATATAATTTTTCCCAAATTTTAGACCAGCGCTATGCTAAACCGACCAGCCAAACGTCATCGATGGCAGCTGAGGAACAACATGATCAAAGTGGAAAGAAAAATTGGCGCTGGAAGCTTCGGTAGGCTACTACAATATAAAACATGATGATGCTTGTTAAAAAGTCTAATGAAATTTTTGTAGCCCAAGTATTTTTATGCATAATGAGAAGTAGGAATCGCGAAAGAGAAGTCGCCGTGAAGATTTGCCATGAGACTCCGAAACTGCCGAAGGAAGAAATGATGAAAGAGGTGATGAGAGAAGTCCGGATCATGAAGCCGTTGAAGCACAAGAATGTTGTTAGGCTGTTTGGAGTCGCTATGGACTATGAACCGTGAGTTAACACTGTTTCCAGCAGTGTGAATAGCATTTCGCAACATCAAAAGACAAAAAGTTATATTAATTTACAAGAGAAGTACCCCAAGCGCGACGCTCAGATTTTCTTTAAATTTTGCACATACGTTGGGCATAGATTAGATGTCAATTACTGAAAGTTTTAGCTCCCGCTTTGCAGGCGCCATCGAGATATTGAATCATCTTCGCCGCCGAGAGAGTACGATAAACCCGGAGAGCGGTCAGAGAGAAAAACAATTTTTGGCCATAGCTCTTCCAGTTTCGTACCCGAAAAATTGATTTTTTGTGAAAACATTACCCTCCATGGTAGAAATAGGCATGAAACTTTTCGTCCCGAAATTCGGCAAAAAGTGTCAAATTTTCGCCAACTTTCGATCTGAAAATATCGGTTGTTTCTGCGAAGCGTGAGCTAGGATTCTCGCATATATTTTACAAGGAAAGTACTTCTATGGGGTGTGGAGTTACAGGTCGAGTCATATATCAAAAAATTCGCGAAATTTTTCTGATTCAGAATATGCAAAAATTAGCTGCCTAATTTTGGTTTGTAAGGGTGAAAATATCCTCAGAACTTTTTTCGCAACACCATGAAAATGCGCCTTTTTGCCATTGGAACTACTAATTAAGGTGTAGTATAAATTAAATTTGATATTTTGAGGCTTGTAAAGATACCAGAGTTTACTTTAACTCAAAACAAAGCTTTTGAATTGGTAAAAACTTGGTCAAAAAGGCATTTGCGTGGTGTTTCGAAAAAAGTTCCGAGGGTTTTTTCACCTTTAAAAACCAAAATTAGGCAGCTTATTTTTGCATATTCTGAATCAGAAAATTTTTGCGAATTTTTTGATATATGACTCGACCTGTAACTCCATACCCCATAGAAGTACTTTCCTTGTTAGAAAAAATTAATCTAAATTTGTGCCAAGTTTCATCTAAATCTAAGCGTTGCACTTGGGTACTTTCCCTGTTAGTCATCAAAAAAATACAAAGCCAAGAGAACGCGTGGATTTTGACGTTTTTCTTCCAGAATCATGATTGTTATGGAATATGTGCGAGGAGGATCGCTTCAGCGGTATCTGAGAAAGAATTCTGGCCGCGTTTCGCCCCTGGACAAGTTGGAAAAAATGATTGTAGGAGCTGGTCGGGGACTGGAATATGTTCATTCCATGAAGCTGATCCATCGAGATATCGCGGCTAGAAATTGCCTATTCGATAAAGAAACGGTAGGTCTAATTTTGAATTTTTGACACTAATGACTATAAGAATTATATTGCTTTAGATGTTACTGTTGCGGACCTGATCCAGTGGCAAAAAAGTGCCATTTTGCATCCGGGAAGTATCAAAAAATATGGCAAAATACCTCCCTTTTCAAGTTAAAAAAGTCAGATTTCAAAACCGGTCTTTTTGCGAGGTAAATTCAAAGCGGAGTCTTTTTACTTGGAGAGGGAGGCATTTTGCCACATTTTTTATACTTCCCGGATGCAAAATGGCACGTTTTTTGCCAATGGATCATGTCCGTCATTGTAGCTGATCCTCATATTTGAGGACTTTTTGCCATTAACCTTCGAAAATGACATGTTTTTAGTGCAAAATCAGCGATTTTGGGCTGACGAGATCCGGGGAATCCTACAAACTGGTAAAGGTTCGGAAAGTCCCGTACAAGAATATGGCTCCGGAAGTCTATACAACCTTCAAGTACACCCCTGCCAGTGATGTCTACGCCTTTGGAGTGATGGCTTGGGAAATCTGGATGGACGGAAAAGAACCCTTTTTGGATAAGAAGTTGGTCGATGTGAAGTCAATGGTTTTGGCGGGAACTCGACTCGAATTTTCGCCTTCAACCCCTTCGGATGTGGTCCATATTGTCACTGACTATTGTTGGAATCAGAAGCCGGAGGATCGGCAGACAATGTCGTTTGTGGTCCGGAAAATGGAAGAGGCGACGTTGAGGATGGCGCTTGAAATTTCGAAGTCGAGGGCGGACAATACGGAAGAGGATGTGGAGCCGGGAATGCCGATGAAAAGCACTGTGGCCTCAATTATCAACAGAGAACACCACGAGCAAACGGAAACTGAATGCGAGGTAAGTTAAGGGCTATCTGATTATATTGTAGAAGGCAAGGGAATTGAGTAATATCTCAGGTGTCAACCTAAGGCCCGCGCTGAAATCGCCAGGGATTTAATTGTGCACTATTTAGAGAGCACAGGTAAAATTTGAAAGACATTCGAAGAATTTCAAATTGTATATTTGACCTTTATATTACACTAGGTACAGTAAGATATTTTTGATTGTTTTTGTCAGAAATGAGCCTTGTAACGTAGAAAAAATAATTTTCGGTGCATGAAAAAGTCAAGTTGATTTCAGACCAGCATGTATGACACTCGAACTATCAGCTCCAACGACACAACTGCCTCATCCAGTTCGACCGCTATCACGACTCCCGTTGGCTCCAGGAAGAATCTTTCCGTGAAGGAGAAGAAAAAGAAAGACTCGAAACGGAAACACCACAAGTAGTCAATGTATCCGATTTACAATAAATTCGCTATTTTTTCATTTATTCGTATAACTTTTCTCGGCAAAGTGCAGAATCTCGGGCGCAGTCTGCCGATTGAAAAATAAATTCCCAAAGGAAAGTTTTTTTTGAGCTGTGTCGAAATTGTTGTAGACTGCTTTTCTGGCCTTTTTGGGCGCTGATTTGTTGCCTTTTTTATTCGTTTCTGATCCTATATTACACTAGTTATCAAATGGGAAGAGGCCGGAGTGAAAGTAGATCCGTTTCTCCCCGCGACTCCAGACGGCATCATAAAGATTCCCGTCACAACGACCATCGAGACTATGATCGCCGCGGCAGACGACGGTCGAAGTCGCCGGATAGAAGAGATAGACGGAGAAGGTCACCTGAAGACTCAAAAGAGTGGTTTGATAAAGCCTCAACAAGCAGGAGGTCGCCAGGTCCTCTGAATCGAAGAAGATCACCGAGTTCGAGCAGTGCATCCAGTTCTTCAGAGGATTTCGACAAGAAATTGGATGAATTCCGAAGCAAGAAGAAAAAGGAGATGAAGGAGAAGAAGAAGGTGAAGAAGGAGCGGGAAACTGAAGAAGAAAAGAGAGCCAGAAGGTTGGAGAAGAAGAAAAGAAAGGTATGTAAAATTTTATTATTGCTTTCAAGTTTAGACTCTGGAATTCTGCCGAGAATTTGACAAGTTTCGCGGCGTCCATTTGATTTTTTGATGGATAAGATAAATTGATGGCAAACCTTGTTATTTGTCATATTTCATGTCTAATGCGTTGCTTGCAGGAAGAGAAGAAGGCCGCAAAGCTGTTGCCCGAAACAATACCGTATACAGATCTCAACAATCCCTTCAACGATCCCAACTTCTCGCAGCCGTTCGTTTGGGGCAAGAAGTTGGAAGTTGAAGGAAAACACAATCTCTCCCGAAAGCAAATCGAGAAAATGCACCGAAGTCAGATTCAAAAGAGTGTCGAAGAGATGGAACAACTCAAGCAAAGTCGATTGGCTCGGCAGGCGGCACGCGAAGACATTGAATTGATGGCCCGAGATGAAGAACGAAAAAAGAACTCGGATTTTGGTGAAATTGAAAGAAAATTCCATCTGCAGCAAGCTCCATTGAGGTCGCAGATCAGGATAAAGGGAAATCGAGCCATGCCAATTGATTATTTAGCAGTGTAAGAATTGCTTTTTGTTTTTTTTTTCATTTAGAGGAAAAATTATATTATTCATCAGAAAAAAATCTGTTGTAGTTCCAAAGTAATGCTCCTATTTTAGATACATCTCATTTGGAAGTGAAAAGAAGCCAAAAGCATTCCGAGAATTGGAAGATTTCGAGCTCAGAGATCCGAATGAATATATCAAGGGGTTAAAGGAAGATGAATATGAAGACCTCTTGGCAGATGTTAGGATCTACCGATTATTGGATGAAGAGAACAAACAAAAGGATTTCTGGGATGATATTTGTACAATTGCGACGTCAGAATTGAAAAAGGCGAAGGCTTTGGCGAGGGATGAAGCAGTCCATTCATCAGTGCAGCAAGATGTTGTGAAGACTTTTAAGGTAAGTATTGTATTTTTTTATTGAGTCTTTAGGCCGTGTGTGACACCTTGAGAGCTTGAGATATCGGGTTTTATTAATTTACCTTACAAAATCATACTTCTTACAAAAATATCGAATTTTCCTCCATTTGTCTTTTTCTTGCGTTGTCGTTGTTAGGTGACTCCTTGCCCTTCATTCTCGATGTCTTCCTGAACTTGTTGAGCGGATTTTCCGGGTTCTTGAACGGCTTCTCCTTCTGCGGGGACCTTCTCCATGACAAATCTGGGCAATTCCTCGGGAGTTGGCTGTCTTTCAAAATCAAAGTCGTCATCCCAACTTTTACAGTGTCCATGTTTCTCATAGATTTGCTTACACAAGCCCAGGATTGGCTGGATGTCAGAGTAGGCACCAGGACTCGAGACAATATCCATTATATTGTTCCACAGGGTGTGATACCTAAAATAATTTTTTAAATGTTATTATGGTTCGGATGCGAGTAAAATGTATAGATAGTCTATCTTACGTCTCAGGCAGGTGCTTGAGATACTGGCTGTTGCTGTTGAAGTTCGAAATCTTCTTTTGAGCAACTTGATCCGTGTGATCTCTACCCCAGGGCAATTCTCCCATCGTCAGCTCCAAAATCAAGTAGAATACAGCCTCCAGCTCAAGATTAGCCAACGTATCGGCCGGGATTGGATTCTGAATTTGATCAGACCATCCAAGCGGGGTATAATTCAGATTTCCACTCCATCTGACATCGGTTTTGGACTTAGGCTTTGGCCTCACGGTGGAAAGATCGGCCAAGAAAAGGGTTCTCGAAGCCGCATCGAAATGGAACATGTCTTGATCCAAAGAGCAGAGAATAAAGTTGCAAGAATGCATAAATCCAAGAATCTGAAAATGGATGGATATAGGGGTTTTTGATGATGTTGTAGTAGGTTGAAAAAGGACTGTTTTGGATTCTGGACTAGATTATTGAGTCAAAATTGATCACGAAAAGGTAGAACAGGGCTGCTAGAGCTTTATTTTTGAGAAGGTTTGGCGAAACAGAAAATTGTTCAAATCATTATGGTGAATATCGGAAAAGGTCTATTTGGAAATCCCTCATATATCAAAGGTACAGTGAAGGACATGATCCAGTGGCAAAAAACATCATCTTGCATTCGGAAAGTGTCAAAAAATGCAGCTAAATGCCTCCCCCTCCAAGTGAAAAAACTTCGTTTTGAAGGGCGCGCCCTTGCCCAGCGGGCGCGCTTTTGAAATCGGAGTTTTTTCACTTGGAGAAGGAAGCATTTTGCCACATTCTTGATACTTCCCGGATGCAAAATGGTACGTTTTTTGCCACTGAATCAGGTCCTCCACTGTATATCACGAGGCTGTTCACAAAGTTGTTACCTGGTAGAGATTGTATCCGAACCTGCCCACCGTAGAATACGACAATTTGGCGCTTCCCCGGCTGCTCGACATGAATTCCGTGATCTGTCTCAAAGTTGGCCCTCCCTTGAAATAGGTGGTATACCAGTAATAGTCGGTCTCAAAACATCCGTGATCGTGCAGTTGAGCGAAAAGATTGTGTTTTCGGTGCTCGTTGGCCTTGCGGAGTAGGGCGATTTCAACCAAAAGAACGGAAGGAGTGTGAATGAGGGTGTTGTCCAGGCGGAGAACGAGTTCTAGAGGACGATCGGACTTTTGAGGGGTCACAAAGTAGGTAGCTCCGAAGCGGTCGTCAAACCCAATACGTTCTTCAATCTGAAAGTTGAGTTTTGAGCAATTTTTTGGCAATCTGATCCAATGGCAGAACACGTGCCATTTTGCATCCGTGAAGTATCAAAAATGTGGCAAAATACCTCCCTCTCCAAGTGAAAAAAATCCGATTTGAGCCGCTCTTTTTATGAGGGAAAGACGCGCCCTTCAAAACGGAGTTTTTTCACCTGGAGAGGGAGGGATTTTGCTACATTTTTGATACTTCCCGGATGCAAAATGGCACGTTTTCTGCCACTGTATCAAGTCCGCCACTGTAGTTGTTCCGTAAATTTTATTTACGGGGTAACTTTCTATTTGACCTTACCACAAACTTGTCTCCGAATTTGTGGCCCGGTTTGTAGTTGGGAATGCCGTTGAACAGCTCCACTTCCTCCTCTTCCTCCGGCAGTTCCACTTTGTTTGCCTCTAATGGCGGAGGAGCCATATCCGCTGACTCAGTAGCTTCCACAGCCGCCATCTCTCTCGACTTCGGACATGAAGGAATGGAGATTTGGGAAATTTTGGCTGATTTTGATTTGGGAAAATTTGAATGATTTTGGGTAATTTTGTGATCTTTAAATTTCATGGAAATGAAAGGGCAAATGAAAGATACTGTCCAGTGGCAAAAAAGGTACCATTTTGCATCCGGGAAGTATCAAAAATGAAGCAAAATACCTCCCTCTCCAAGTGAAAAAAACTCCATTTTGAAGGGCGCGTCTTTCCCTCACAAAAAGAGCTCTAAAATCGGAGTTTTTTCACTTGGCGAGGGAGGTATTTTTCCACATTTTTTGATACTTCCCGGATGCAAAATGGTACCTTTTTTGCCACTGGATCAAGCCGTGACTGTACATAAATAGAGTTTTTTATAAGGAAAGCGATATTGTCATTCAAGGGGTGCCTAAAATTTGACTCGTTGAATGTAAGAAGTTTCGAAAATAATGCCGATTTTTCAGGGCAAAGCTTTTGCGGAACTCGAGAAACTGGAAGTGGACATAGTGAAAAAGATCAAGAACGCGGGCCGAGGGACTGATGTGTCTTTCTGGGAGAATCTTTTGGACACCCTCAGACCACAAATGGCTCGACAAAGATTGAAGGAATTGCATCAAAAGTTCTTGAAGATCAAATTGGAACAGATTAGAGCAGAGCAGCTGAAGGAAACGCAAAAATTGGAGAAACTGGAGCTCAACAAAGCTCCGGAGACGGAGCAGAAACCGGAAGAGAAGGTTCAGCAGGAGAATCCCGGGGATGTCGGAGAGAAGAGCGAAGATGAGGGGGAAATTGAGGATTTGAATGTAAGTTTTGAATTTTTTTTTAATTTGGAGATGTCCTAGAAAAGTATTTTTTCAAAAAATAACCACCTCCTTTCAGGCCGAAGATCTGGAAGCTCTTGAAGCCTACGACACAAAACGACCCCTCCCATTCACAGTCGACGAGGTCCTAAGCCTGGATGACGAGCAGCGAGAAGCCAAATACGAACAACTCAATGATCGCCAGCTTTTGAGATTCACGTTGAGGATGTACGAAAGCGGAAGATATTCCCCCACATATGGAAAAGAATCGTTAGCCATGCCAGGAATTGAAATATTGAGTGAAAAGGAGGATGTTGAGAGTCTGAGAGAAGTAGGTTTGAGATTTTATGGGGTTTAAGAACTACACTGAATTTTTTCATTAAAAACTATTGGTACCTAAAATAAGGTCGAAAATTTCGGCCGCTAATTTTTCTGGAATGCCATCAGCATCCAAGAACCAGGCTTGTTATGTACTAATCACAAAAAAACCACCCATAAACACCCTAGAAGCATTAAAAATCGAAATTGAAAGCTAAAAAATCATCTACAGGGGCGGACCTGATGCAGTGACAAAAAATGTTCCTTTTTGCATCCCGGAAGTATAAAAAAATGCAGCAAAATGCCTCCTTCTCCAAGTGAAAAAACTCGGTTTTGAGGGTCTCTCCTCACAAAAAGAGCGGCAGGCTTTTGAAATCCGAGTTTTTCACTTGGAGGGGGAGGTATTTTGCTGCATTTTTTATACTTCCCGGATGCAAAATGGTACGTTTTTTGCCACTAGATCAGAATACCTGTAGACGGTTTTTTTAACTTTCAGTTTATCTTATGGGTGATTTTTAATGTTTGTAGGGTATTTATGAGTGATTTTTTGAGATATTAATAAATGAAAAGGGTTGTTCTTGGATGCTGATGGCATTCTACAGTGTAGAGAAAATAGCGTCCGAAATTTTTGACCTTATTTTAGATATCAATAATTTTTAGCGAAATTTTTTTGTGTCGTTATCAAGTTTGCATCAAATAACATCTAATTTTTTCAGAAACGAAAGACCGAGTCCGAAAAACGTCAAGGCAAACCAATTTCGGCCGGAAATTCCGCCGCCGATGAGAAAATGATGGCCATCGCCAAAAGTGGAATGTCCGGCGAAGAAAGCTCATTCGCGGTCGAAGAAGACATTGGACATCAGAATCTGCTCTGGTCTGACAAATACCGCCCGCAAAAACCAAAGTACTTTAACAGAGTTCACACAGGATTCGAATGGAACAAGTACAATCAGACTCATTATGATGTGGATAACCCACCACCGAAGATTGTACAGGGATACAGATTTAATGTAAGTGGAAAGGAGAGTGGGTAATAGGATTTGAGAGTAGGTTTGGGGATTTTGGAAGGGAAAAAGTTGATAAAGTGAGCTTTTTTATATTGTACTAGGCATGGATAAGGTTTGTCTGAGATTTTTGTTGTCTAGAAAGGATTTGTGTTGATGTAAAGAGTTACAAAATGTGTAAAATGCCTCATTTGTTAATTTCGTAGCCTAGAAAGTGCGATGGAATCTCAAAAATTTGAATTCCCGCCGTTTTTGGCATTGTGTTTTAGAGGTTCATAGTGCAAGAAAAGGTCTAAAAATTAGGAAATTGATGCTCTATCGGCTCCAAAGAGGCGTGTATTCTTAGAAAAAATGTTTTTGAATTTAATTTTTTAGCAAAATTATGTTAGCCATGATGGTTTATATGATTTTCTTATTTTTTTTGCATTTTTAGTCTAGAAATTTGATGTTTTTGTTAAAATCCGTATTTTAAAACAGAGTTTTTTACAAACTGAAGCTTCCCTCCAAGGGGCCCGGACATTGTTGCAACGACCATCACCAAATTTCTTGAAACTTGGCCAGTAGAATGGCCTGAGCATGTTGATGAAAAGCGAAGAAGGGTTTCGCGAAATTTCAACCGGTCCGAGATTACTGTAACAATTTGGGTTTTGTAAAGCAGCCGTGGTCGTGGACCGGGCAACAGCCCTACGGGGCTGAAACTTCTTGTCTGTATGTTTTCGAGCATGGCCAACATTTTTCTAATTGAAACTTTTTTTGTATCTTTTCGTCTTTCGGTAGTACCGTAATCGTCATGATACCATATCGATTACTGTAAAAAATTGGAGCGAGTGTAACAAATTTTTAAACTTGGTTATAAAAGTTGGACACCCTTCCCGTAAAATAAGACAAAAAAATCAAAAATAAAAATATAAGTTTTTGAGATATATGCGTTCAAAATTGCTATGTTCGGTTACTGTAGGACCAAAATAGAGACGATCAATTTTTAAACTTTTCCATTAATCGCTACGGTTCACATATTAATAGCATGACATAAGAGGAATGTTTTCAGGTTGAAAAATTAATAATAGAGCTTTTATTTTAAGGTTTATACGAAGGTTACTGTAATTTCCAACTTTTATTAAGTTCGCTAACAATTTTATTGGAATGACGAATTTAGACAAGCTATCCGGGTCAGAAACGCGCATACATCATGGAAGACAGAAATCAGAATCGTAATACTACCTATTCCTGAAATAGTGGGAGATTACGGTAGCCGTACCCACTTTTTTCGTTGTTTGGCCGCGGCATTCTTTGGGACAGTTAGTGTAACAACTTTTGAGTCCTGAAGTTCATTCAGCATCACCAGGGGAGTATTTCAGCAAAAAATCGCAAAAATAAAAATATAAGTTTTTGAGAAAATCCTGGATTACGGTCATTTTAGGGGGTTTTTGGGCCGTTTGGCCGTGGCATTCTTTGGAGCTGCTAGTGTAACAACTTTTGAAGCCTGAAATTCATTCAGGATGGATAGAAGAGCATTTCAGCAAAAAATCGCGAAAATAAAAGTATAAGTTTTTGAGAAAATCCTGGATTACGGTCATTTTAGGGGATTTTTGGGCCGTCTGGCCGTGGCATTCTTTGGAGCTGCTAGTGTAACAACTTTTGAAACCTGAAATTCATTCAGGATGGATAGAAGAGCATTTCAGCAAAAAATCGCGAAAATAAAAGTATAAGTTTTTGAGAAAATCCTGGATTACGGTCATTTTAGGGGATTTTCTGTCCGGAACTACCGTAATCCGGGATTTTCTCAAAAACTTATACTTTTATTTTCTCGATTTTTTGCTGAAATACTTCCCTGGTCATGCTGAGTAAATTTCAAGACTCAAAAATTGTTACACTCGCAGCTCCAAAGAATGCCACGGCCAGACGGCCCAAAAATCCCCTAAAATGACCGTAATGCAGGATTTTCTCAAAAACTTATACTTTTATTTTCTCGATTTTTTGCTGAAATACTTCCCTGGTCATGCTGAGTAAATTTCAAGACTCAAAAGTTGTTACACTAGCAGCTCCAAAGAATGCCACGGCCAGACGGCCCAAAAATCCCCTAAAATGACCGTAATCCAGGATTTTCTCAAAAACTTATACTTTTATTTTCGCGTTTTTTTGCTGAAATGCTCTTCTATCCATCCTGAATGAATTTCAGGCTTCAAAAGTTGTTACACTAGCAGCTCCAAAGAATGCCGCGGCCAGACGGCTCAAAAACCCCCTAAAATGACCGTAATCCAGGATTTTCTCAAAAACTTATACTTTTATTTTCGCGATTTTTTTCTGAAATACTCTTCTATCCATCCTGAATGAATTTCAGGCTTCAAAAGTTGTTACACTAGCAGCTCCAAAGAATGCCACGGCCAGACGGCCCAAAAATCCCCTAAAATGACCGTAATCCGGGATTTTCTCAAAAACTTATACTTTTATTCTCCCGATTTTCTGCTAAAATACTTCCCTGGTCATGGTGAGTAAATTTCAAGACTAAAAAGTTGTTACACTCGCAGCTCCAAAGAATGCCACGGCCAGACGGCCCAAAAACCCCCTAAAATGACCGTAATCCAGGATTTTCTCAAAAACTTATATTTTTATTTTTGCGATTTTTTGCTGAAATACTCCCCTGGTGATGCTGAATGAACTTCAGGACTCAAAAGTTGTTACACTAACTGTCCCAAAGAATGCCGCGGCCAAACAACGAAAAAAGTGGGTACGGCTACCGTAATCTCCCACTATTTCAGGAATAGGTAGTATTACGATTCTGATTTCTGTCTTCCATGATGTATGCGCGTTTCTGACCCGGATAGCTTGTCTAAATTCGTCATTCCAATAAAATTGTTAGCGAACTTAATAAAAGTTGGAAATTACAGTAACCTTCGTATAAACCCTAAAATAAAAGCTCTATTATTAATTTTTCAACCTGAAAACATTCCTCTTATGTCATGCTATTAATATGTGAACCGTAGCGATTAATGGAAAAGTTTAAAAATTGATCGTCTCTATTTTGGTCCTACAGTAACCGAACATAGCAATTTTGAACGCATATATCTCAAAAACTTATATTTTTATTTTTGATTTTTTTGTCTTATTTTACGGGAAGGGTGTCCAACTTTTATAATCAAGTTTAAAAATTTGTTACACTCGCTCCAATTTTTTACAGTAATCGATATGGTATCATGACGATTACGGTACTACCGAAAGACGAAAAGATACAAAAAAAGTTTCAATTAGAAAAATGTTGGCCATGTTCGAAAACATACAGATAAGAAGTTTCAGACCCGTAGGGCGATCACCTGGTCCACGACAACGGCCGCTTTATAAAACACAAAATGTTACAGTAATCCCGAAATAATGCAAATTTTGGGAAAACGTTTGACGCTTTTGATATATGCCCTGTGGGTGTTCTATGAGCCAAATTTGAAGAAATTCGGTGATGGTCACCGCAACAATGTCCGGGCCATGCTTCACTTTGTAAAAAAGTCCGTTTTAAATAAATTTAAGCTTAATTTTGATTTCAGATATTCTACCCAGACCTCCTCGACCCAACTCAAACCCCGGCATTTACCCTGAATCAATGCGAAGACGAAGATTTTGCGATTATCCGCTTCAAAGCCGGCCCTCCATACGAAGATATTGCCTTCAAAATTGTGAACAGGGAATGGGAAGTCAATTACAAACACGGATACAAGTGTCAATTCCAGAACGGCGTCTTCCAGCTATGGTTCTACTTCAAGAGATACAGATATAGACGATGAAATGGTGATTACTGTGTTATAACGTTTGAATTTGTTAATAAAATTAATTTTTATAGCCGGACTGAAGGGTGAGAGTTGATTTGAGAGCTGTTGCGACAGAGACATACCGGGTTTTATTTGAAGATTTTTTATTTTTGATTGTTTTTGATGACTAACATAATATTTGATGTAATTTTTGGAGATTTTTGACCCTTTTTTGATTTTCCTGAGGCTTGGGTGGACGTATTTCACTTATATTTTACGATTTTTCTTTATTTGACAGAATCAAAAATAATTGGATTTTGAATTCCTGCCATTTTTGGCATTCCGTTGCAAGAGTGAAAATTGATGAAAATGAATTGAAAATGTAATCATGGATGTAGAATAAAGATTGTAGTGACAAATTAAGGACATTTGGAAAGTTTTTGGACTAATTGTTGATATTATCTATGGTCAATTTTTTGGATGGATAAAAAAAAATTTTTTTTACGCTTGTATCGCGTTATAATAGGGACTTGGATTGTGTGATAACTGTAAAAATGCAGCTCGAGTTATAGCGGGAGCGTTTCAAAATATTTTTTATATCGCTTTAGATGCCCCCTCCGAGGCGCCGAACAGAATCGACCTCGTCTCGGACAGTCCTCGCCTCAACTGTAGAATATGTCAACAAGGCGAAGATCCAGGGCAGAAGCAAGTGGATCCTATATTTAAAGGGCCTATTATCGTCTTTCATCGCCTTTGACAAGCAATTTTTCGTTTTGGCCGTTCTCCTAATCACACTTTTGGACTCAGCCATCGTATTTTATATGCTCAATTATGTGAAATGTAAGGAGAATCGTTCATTTTTTCATTTTCTATGATTTTATAGAGGTATGAAGCTACTACTTGCTTTGATTTACGACAAAAAAAATCAATTTTTTTCTGCAAATGTCATGGATAATATAATTTTTTTAAAATTTTTAGACACGAATATTGATTGGACCGCGTATATGGAGCAAGTCCGAATCTACAAGTCGGGAGAGTTGGATTACTATCATATTCGAGGCGACACGGGCCCATTGGTCTATCCAGCCGGGCATTTGTACATCTACACTCTACTGAATTATTTGACCAATGATGGAGAGAACATTGCTCGGGCGCAGATGATCTTTGCTTTGATCTATGCCATGAACCAGTTGCTGATTGTCAATCTGTTTTATCAGTCGAAAAAAGTGGGTTTGGGGGGAAATTTGAGAGGTTTTTTGTTGTGATAGGTGGACTTGATGGATAAGGTAATATTTTTTGACACAGAGGACTTTTTAATGTGGGATAAGGTTCAAATTACTCCATGAGGATTAGAATAGCAAAAAATGACGGAATCAATTAGCAAAATTGTTATTTTTGAATGGATTTATGATGTTTCAGACATTTTTAAGGGCAAATTTTAGAATTTTATCAAAAATGACATTTTTTGCCAAATTTTTGGGTTGAGACTAGTTTAAATAGATCCACAGCTGAATTTACAACGTAATGAGTAGAAATTTTCAGGTCGGCCCAGCAGTTCTCGTCTTCATGGTCCTAATTTCCCACCGGCTCCACTCCATTTACATCCTCCGGCTTTTTAACGACCCAATTGCAATGTTCTTCCTCTACGCAGCTGCCAATTTATTCATTTATCGACGGTTTGGACTGGGCTGCTTGTTTTACAGGTAAGAGATTTGAATTTTTTGACAATGATTTTTATATTTTTAGTGTTGGAGTGGCAGTCAAGATGAATATATTGCTGTTTGCACCGGCGGTTTTCTTTATATTGTTGCTGCAGTTAGGCGTTAAGAAGACGATTTTTAACTTGGCAATATGTGCGGTGGTTCAGGTGAGGAGAAAGGGGGATTTTTTTAGAGAAATTGGGCGATGGTTAATAGTTGTCGTTCCAGAAAGTACATAGAATTTTTGTCGTACGGTCAACAACGTGCACAAAAGCCCTTTTTGCGGCATGCATTAGGTCTTTTGCACTTGCACTGTGGGTGCGGGAAAAGGCCGAAAAAAATCTACTCACTTTCTGGAACTCCTAGTATAAATTTTGGTCGGAAATGAAGAAAAAAATATCCAAAAATTTTTTGAACGCACTTTATAAGTTTACGAAATACGGTGTTTTGTGTAATGTTCTTTTTACGTTTTTTTTGTACGATATAAAATATAGATTCTTTCGACTTTGTGACCTAAATTTTTCGATGTAAAGTGGACCTGATCCAGTGGCAAAAAACGTACCGTTTTTCATACGGAAAGTATCAAAAATGTGGCAAAATGCTTCCCTCAAATGAAAAAAACTCCGATTTCAAAAGCCCGATCTTTTTGTGGGGGCCGTTCAAAACGAAGTTTTTTTCACTTTGAGAGGGAAGCATTTTGCCACATTTTTGATACTTTCCGGATGCAAAATCGTACGTTTTTGCCACTGTCACTACGAAGGTGTATAATACAGTGTGGGACCTGATCCAATGGCAAAAAACGTCTCACTTTGCATCCCGGAAGGGACCAAAATGTCTCCAAAACCTTCCCTTCTCTAAGCTAAAAAACTCCGCTTTGAAAAGCGCGCCCTTTCCATCAAGGCGGGCTCTTCAAAGCGGGGTTTTATAGCTTAAAGAAGGGATGGGTTTGGAGACATTCTGGTCCCTTCCGGGATGCAAAATGAGACGTTTTTTGCCTTTGGATTCGGTCCCTCACTGTACGGCATTTTCAGCTGGCCCTGGGCGCGGAATTCCTCCTCGCCCATCCGTTCTCGTACCTCGGCCGAGCTTTCGAACTGGGCCGGATATTTCAGTTCCGATGGTCCGTAAATTGGCAATTCATCCCGGAGGAAATATTTTTGGCTCAGAAGTTTCACTTAATCTTGCTTGGTCTGCATGTTGTTGTTTTGCTGGTATTCATGTTTGGAGTCTGGTTTAGAGATCGAGGAGGTCTCTTCAATTTAATTATTGAGTATTTGAATACTGGGAAATTGGTGACGTTGACTCCGCACGGTAAGTTTTGCGATTTTTTGAACTTTTTGGGTTGGGAGGATGAAAAAAATTTGTAAATTCAGTTGATTAAGGCTGTTATATTGATTTTTTGAGATTTAGAGGGCATCCGGAGGCAGTTTTGATATTTATTTCATCTAGAATTAGCGAATTTTTTCTCGTGTAATATAATTTTTACTCAATTTTTTCGAAAAAAAGTGTTTTAAGGGCTTGAAAATGATCGCAGAATAAATTCTAGGGGTTTTTTCCGGCATCCAAAGACATCGGCAATGTTGATTTACACAAAAAGCAGTTCTTTTTGCCCTAGTGTAATATAATTTTTGCTCTTAAAATACCAAATTTTGCCCTGAAAATTTATAAATTGACTTGGTGGGCCTTCTAATCGATTTTTAGATTGCTGTGTTTACATTTAGACCCCAGATTTATTCTAAAATAGAAGTTTTTTATCTAGTATAATATGGTCTCATGTGTAATATAACTTGATTTCAGCACTTTGTTTTCCTTTTCAGAGGTGCTGTTCTCACTATTCTCGGCGAATTTGGTTGGCCTAACCTTTGCCCGATCGCTTCACTTCCAATTTTACTCCTGGTTTTATCATTCGTTGGTATACTTGGTGTTCACTTTGTATAATTTTGAACCAATTATGTAAGCTGGAAATAATTTTTGAGAGTTCGGAAGGTTTCTCTTGGTTTCTTGGATAATTTCAGAGTTGCATTTGATTTTTTTTTCATTTCAGACCAACATTTCACGGGTTCAATAAACAAATTCTGGTGTGGATTGGATGGTAAGTGAAATTTTGGATCAAAAAGATGTGAGTAATAGTTGAAATGGGGCAAATTGTACTTTTTTATGACCTGTAGTTTTTTTTGAAACACTTAGCTTGGCTGTAGCGACTTTTTTTTAGGTTTTTGCGCCAAAAATTATATTATCCATGACATTTTTGGTGGAAAATTAAATTTTTTAGGTAAAATAAGATATTATTAGGCCTTTTGAAAGTTGATAACTAACTTTTATGGATTTTTACAGAATTTTAAATAAAAATGAATTCAATTGCAGACTTAATTTGATCTACTTGCAGCGCTTTATACCTGGTTTCCGTCGAGGTTGTCTTCAATATTTATCCGCCTCAAGCCTGGAGTTCTTTCATCCTGGTAGTCGGACTGGTCGTTTTATTGAGCTCCCTCGTTTTTACCCATCGGAAAGAAGCGAAATATCCGAAGAAAATTCATTAAATTGAACATGAGCATCGATGAAAAAAATTATTTTTAAATCTACGCGAACGGTCTAGAAACGTCTAGTTTTTTGGTTAAATAGTAGAATTTAGGTTGAGGAAGGCAGTAGAATTACAAAACCGCAATTTTTCGTGATAAAATACGCCTTTTTTATTATCGGAAAATTTGCAAAATTGGTGATTTTGGACAAAAAAATTTTATTTTACTGCCGTATTTCCATCCTCACCTGAGTAATTTATTCATATTTATTATTGTTATACGAAATAAATGTTGACATATCAGAGAATTTCAAGTTTTCCGAGGGTTTTACTGAAGTATGCCTATTGTAATATCGATTTTTTCCCAAAAAATAATCAATGATAATTGTTGAAGGGTCTTTTAGGGGATGATAACAAGGCCACAGGTGGTTAGAATACCATGTCAAGCGTTTTGGAAGCCGTCTACATCGAGTTTTTCGACGTCGACAGTTCCGAGCAATACTAAGGTAAGATTGGGGAAGTTTTGGTAAAAAAAGTGGTTGAATGTGCGTTGAGGTGTTGAATTATGGAGGATGAGATAGTGTGGAGATGGAGTGGACATTTTGCTTTTTGGGTTTGCTTTATTTTGTCTAGAAAACGTCAATTTTTGAAATTTTAGACAAGTTTTTGCTGATTTTTTTTGATTTATAAAAAAAGGTAAATTTTAATATAAAAAAAGCCTGGCAATTGTGAGACATGATTGTTAGCTCTCTAACTAATATTTACAATCCAATTTTTGAGGTGTTCGATCGAGAAGTCAAACGAAAACAACGGAATTGGGCCGCCAAGTCCAAGGACTTCGAGGCCGCGCAATACCTCCGAAAAGAATGTGGCGAACGAATTGCTGACCGAGTCTTCGACCTCACCAAGTTCAATGAAGTCTGTATTGATCTGGGCTGTGGCGCCGGCTTCATTGCGCCACATTTGATCAAGGAAAATGTCGGGAAAATGATTCAATGTGACGTCAGCGAAGAAATGGTCAAAATCAGCAAAGGAAATGAGGAAGTGAGTCGGGGAATGGGTGTTAAATTAAATGTAGCGACTATATTATTCCCTCAGTTACGGCAGAAACTTTTTTTAAAAAAATTTTTTTGTAAAATACGAAAATTTTAGTCGTTTTTTTTGTTGTTGACAGGTGACTAAAATAAGGTAATTTCTTGATGAAAGCTTTTCAAATTTGACCTGAATTTTTACCTAATAGCAGATATCAGAATTTTAGAAGCAATGGATGTTTATTTTTTAATTTTTAGTTTCTAAAATACGGGGCTTTAAAATTTTTCACAAAAAATGGCTAAAATAAGGTGATTTTTGATGAAAATACTCTAAAATTGTCAAAATGTAGTGGAAATTTTTCATCAAATACGGTTTTCAGTTCCCCGTCGAACGTCTCGTAGCCGACGAAGAGCTGGTTCCGTTCGAAAACGAGTCCGCGGACCTCATTTTGTCCTCTCTGTCGGCCCATTGGATCAACGATTTGCCCGGCTGGTTCAAGCGAATCCACGATGTTTTGAAGCCGGATGGCGCCCTGATTGGATGCTTATTGGCTGGAGACACCCTTCACGAAGTCCGAGTGGCATTGCAATTAGCGGAAATGGAGCGGTTAGGAGGCATTGGATCCCATATTTCCCCCTTTGTTCAGCCCCAAGATATCGGCGGATTAATGGGAAGGGCGGGCTTCGGGATGATCACACTCGATCTGGACGAGATTGAGGTGAGAATGGAGGGTTTGAAAGGGAATTCGGGGTTTTTTTTGAGGATTTTTGAGGCAAACTGCCGATTTTACCTTATTTTATGCGGCTTTTTGCAATTTTTGAGGTTTCATCAAAAATTTGAAGGCCTACTTCGTTGTGAAAAAGTAAGATACACTCTCTGGATTCTCTGTGCATCAAGAAACCCAAAATTAAAAATAGATTTTTTGATGATTTTACCTAAAATAATATATTTTTGTGTATAAAAATATACATTGTTACCGGTCTAAACCCCGAAATACAGTGGGGACCTGATCCAGTGGCAAAAAGCGTACCATTTTGCAACCGGGAAGCATCAAAAATGTGGCAAAATGCCTCCTTCTCCAAGTTAAAAAACTTCGTTTTGAAGGGCCCTTTCTGTCACAAAAATAACGGCTGAATTGGGAGTTTTTTTCACTTGGAGATGGAGGCATTTTGCCACATTTTTGACACTTCCCGGATGCAAAATGGTACGTTTTTTGCCACTGGATCAGACCCCCAAATCCCCATTTATCAGCCAAATTGAGTAGTTTCCGATTTCAGATCGGCTACCCCAACCTCTTCTCCATCCTCTACGACCTTCAATCCATGGCCGAATCCAACGCCAGCCTTCGCCGCTCCCCCCTAAGACGAGATATTCTGATCGCGGCTGATGCAATATACCGCGCAATGTTCGCCAAAGAATCCCCGGAGAGGCTGCCCTGCACTTTCCAGGTCCTCAGTTTCATTGGCTGGAGGCCGGGGCCGGAAATGCCCAAGCCCGCGAAGAGGGGAAGCCAGAATGTGTCGTTGAAGGACCTCGGGAAAGTGATCGAAGAGCCGGAAAAGTTCTTCAAACCCGAATAATTATAGGTATTAGTTTAGACTTGTTTTTGCAGAGTAGTAGTTTTTTTGGGGGAAATTTGGGAATTGCTATGACTTATACAGTAAGTTACAGTGGCGGACCTAATCCAGTGTCAAAAACGTTCCATTTTGTATCCAGGAATATCAAAAAATGTAGCAAAATGCTTCCCTCTCCAAGTGAAAAACTCCGTTTTGAAGGCGCGCCCTTTCCCTCATAAAAAGAGCGGCTGAAATCGGAGCTTTTTCACTTGGAGAGGGAAGCATTTTGCCACATTTTTGATACTTCCCGGATGCAAAATGGTACGTTTTTGACACTGGATTAGGTCTGCCACTGTATAGCAAGATTTCTCTGCGAAAACCGAATTTTTGAATTTTTGCCGAAAAAGATGTTGCCAAAGTTCCGCAAATTGTAGCGTAAAATACGCCACATCTTGATCCTGAATTCAGGCTTATTTTACATCGAGGATTATTACTGTTCAGTGGCGGACCTGACTCAGTGGCAAAAAACGTATCATTTTGCATCTGGGAAGTTTCAAAAAGTGTGGCAAAATACCTCCCTCTCCAAGTGAAAAAACTCCGATTTCAGCCGCTCTTTTTGTGAGGGAAAGAGCGCGCCATTCAAAACGAGGTTTTTTCACTTGGAGATGGAGGCATTTTGCCACATTTTTGATACCTCCTGGATGCAAAATGGTACGTTTTTGCCACTGGATCAGGTCAGCCATTGTAGCTTCCTCTGTGTTTTATTAGGATATTTTTGTTCCCATATTCTTGTTGATTTTCAAATAAATTTATCAATACGAATCTTCTTTCAATTAGTTCACAAGCAGTTTATACATACAGAGATTCGAAGAGGATGAAAAATTGTAAAATTGCTAATAAAATTCCAAATGAGCGTCCTTGTCCACGCCGTACTTCAATTTGTTGGCTTCGAACAGCTCCACCAACTTGTCTTCGTACAATTTGTGCAGCTCATCGATCTTTTCCTTGCTGGGATTTTCCGTCTTCTCAATTGGAATGGGGGCTCCGACTGAAAAGAAAATTATTTTATTTTATGTTATCCATGAAGGTTGATGGAAAAAAGTTGATAAATCTCAAAGACTAATGCTCCGATTTGCTTAAAATTTTCCCCGATTTGCTAAAATTTGCCTGCGGCCATCTCGCAAGTGGAGAAATTTCTAAATTTTCTGACTTCCCATCAAATTTCAATCCCAACTTTTGCACTTTTCTTGAAAAACAAACCTAAAATTTCTGTTAGACAGACGGAAAACAGACAAAAACATATATGTCTACATTAAGAAAGAGGATTTTATACTCTTTAGAGCATCAGCTTTTGAGTTCTAGCCCTTTTAAAACATCTCCCAAAAGTTGCCTATTAGCATTTTCACAAAGTGCCTGGACATTTTTTCGCGCTGTGCATCTTGAACTTTTGTCGCCAACGCACTGCGGATTTTTGCCTTTGCGCACCGTGCAAACCTCAAACAAGCCGATTGCACGGTTTTGTGCACAGTGCACGTCAATCCAAAATAGAAGAAAAAATTTCCCGCCCCTTTTTGGTGATTCGTTCAAAACGAAATGTCACTATCCGATGAAACGCATTTTCTTATCTTTCTTTCCGACGACGAAACCGTCTACGCACTTTTGAAAAAGCGTTATAAAAATTCCATGACTTACAGACGACATTGATCTCCGCTCTTCTTGGCAACATCCCTGGCACAAATGGGATCAAACTAGTGCCAAACACAATTGGAGGACTCACTCCAGTGTATTTCTTGACCGCTTCTTGGAAATTTCTCAACCTCGAGCCCTGAGGATTCCGGACTTGGTCGTAGGTGCTGGTCTCTCCGAATGCGTAGACCGGGACCAAATGAGCGCCGGTGGCCAGACACACCCTGACGAAGCCCTTCCGTCGGTTCAAGCACAGCCTATACACATCTGGATGGGCTTCCAGCGCTTCTTCCGCCCCGCCAATCGCCACAATCACCGCGTTCCCGCCGCTCTCTTTGGAGAGTTTGTAGACCAACGACTTGAAGCTGACCGGAATAAACCCAACCGCTTCCATGAGCCATCGCCGGAATGGGAGGAGGAAATGAACGTCGAGTGTTGCAACATGACGGGTGATCCCGGGGAAAAGACGAATGAATTCCGGTCCGCGGCCACAAATCGTCACACCAGCGCCAAATCCGAGGATTCCATGGGGATGCCAGCTAAAAATTGAGGCGTTTTGACGAAAATTTTGATTTCATACCAAGTGCAATATAAAAATATTGATAAAATCCGATAAGATCTACATTTTGATGAAGTAAACTTCTTATAAAACAATCAGTAAAGCTTGCATCACCTAGAAAAATCAAAAAATCTACTTCAATACTTATTTTTTATTGCACTTAAAATTTAGGTACCTAAAATTCGAAAAGATCGCTTTTTCTCCCTATAACACTCAAAATTAGGTATTCCAACATAGTTTTCACCCTAAACTGGACCATAAAAAACCAAAAAACCTCTTACCCAAACAGATAATTCTTGTCCTTGGGCAAATCCGCGGTTTTATGCAACTTCACGGGGAAATAGTCGCCATAATGGTTCCAAAACCAATGATTCCTCAGCGCCTCATTTGGTTCGCTCTTCGGGAGTTCGGATTGTCCCGCTTGGACGTAAATATAAGCCCCGTAGAGCAACGCTATCCACCACAGCGACGTGAACAACACAGTGTAACAAAAGAGGAGCAAATACAACAGCGGGATAAACGTGAAGTTTGTGAAGAAGACAAACACCACCAGGAACTCGGTGGCCCGTTTTAGATGAGAGTGAATATTGGAGACAAGGTTTTGAGCAGTCATGTCAAGTGCAATATAAAATAATGTCAGAAGAGCGAAGAAATGGCCCGAAATTTATAAGACCAGTTTCGAGGAAGCGAGAAAATAATAGAAAAGAGGTGATTACGTGCCTCCCGCTCGAAAAACGCACAAAATACACGGCGAAAAGGACTTTTTACGTCTCTTATCAACCAAAGAACAGCGAGAAAAAACACTTTTTGTAGTGTTCGATGGCATGTTTCCTAGCTGATCCCTGTCTCGCGTAACGTTCACGTGAGCAGAAAATGAGCCGAACCCAAAACACACCACTCCTTATATTATACTTGACATTTGGAGGATCAAAGTCGAAAAAGTGGCGAAACAAAAAAACGATAAGAACATTACATCATCTCCTGATGAAACATTAAAGAAATTGTCAAAGATTTTATCATTTTTTGGAGAAAAATCAAATTTTTTCAGGTCAAGCTCATGAATTTTACAAGGAAAGTACTTTTATGGGGGCTCCTACTTTTTGACGGGACATACCTCAAAAAATCAGAAAAAATGTGCTGATCAAGGATATATAAATCTTAGCTGCCCATTTTGGGCTTTTACGGGTGAAAATGCCCAAAAAGTGGCTTAATTTCCCTACAAAAGGCGCGTGCATTCGAAACGATAAAAAGCGCAGTCGGTCTCTTCCTTCGGAAGAGAGCGGTGTGGCCGAGTGGTTAGTGCCGTAGTCTGGGAATCAAGAGGGGGACGCCGCACGGGTTCGATTTCGCTTTTGGGCTGAATCAACTTTTTTTGAAGTTGAAGGTCGGAAAAATAAATTTTTGAGCCAAGACTGATTTATTACGTCTTAGAAACTCAATAAACATCGTTTTAAGCCAAAATAAAAATTGTAAACCCGTGAAAAATTAGGCGAAAAGGGGTTCATATATGGATCGGGCTTTATAAATTTCAAAAGTGAATCCAGCAAAAAGTGCAAAATTCAGTCCAAAGTGCCAATTTGGACTGAAATCGCCAAATAAAGTTTGTTTTCCAAACAAATTGCACTTGTTTGCTTGGATTTCTTGGTTTTGTCCACCGTCCAAAAAGTGAACAAAGGATGGACAAAAAACGGCAAATTTAGTCCAAAGAAAAACTGGCTCGTTTCAATCACTTTAATTTTATTTCATTCAATTTTTGTGGTCCCTAATCATTGTTCCAATACGTAACTATCGTATAAACCAAGTACTGGGCAAACCAGGCCTAATCTGAAGTCTAGCGCCTCTTTTTTGCGATTTTCGGTTGAAAAGTTATATTGTACTAGGCAAACTAGGTCAACTTTGATGTCTAAGGCCCGTTTTTTGCGATTTTCGGTTGAAAAATTATGTTGCACAGGGCAAACTACGTCAAATCTGACGTCTACCGCCTGTTTTTCGGTTGAAAAATTATATTGTACTAGGCAAACTAGGTGAATTTTGATGTCTCGGGCACGTTTTTTGCGATTTTCGGTTGAAAAATTATATTGCACAGGGCAAACTACGTCAAATCTGACGTCTATCGCCTGTTTTTCGGTTGAAAAATTATATTGTACTAGGCAAACTAGGTGAATTTTGATGTCTCGGGCCCGTTTTTTGCGATTTTCGGTTGAAAAATTATATTGTACTAGGCAAAACAATTCAAATTTTCTTAAAAACAGTATAAAACTTACATTACCCGAGGTGTGGCGAGACAACACAACACACAACTAAAAGCCGGAAATCATTGCAGTCGTTTTCCTGCCGAACTCACGTACTGAAACCGGAAATCAGGGAGATCACGAAAATTGGCAGAATTTTCTTGGCATTTCGTTTAAAACGAGAATTTCTATAGCACGGCGGTTTCACACAACAGAAAAGCGGGAACTTCGTTTTGTCCTTTTTTGAAGCGGGGGCGCAGCTCGCGGAGGCAAAAAATGACGTTTTTTTTACTGTAACTTTTAAACTAACAGTCGAATCGAAAATCGACCAGGGATTTAGAAAATAGAAGTTGTCTTTTATCTAATGACGTATTAAACACATTGCAGAAGTGGAAACGGAGACCAATTGTCTGTGGCGCTAAATTTGCCTATGTTGAGGATACCGTATCAAAACCAAAAATCAAAATGGGAACTTGATATGAAGAAGTGGATATGTAAATACATGATTCCGAGTCGATAGACACCGAAAACGTCGAAAAAGGTTGACTGAGCGAGAAGTTATGACACCCAAAAAACATGCTGATTTTTGACAATTTCGAAAAACTACAGTATCCTTCGAACAAACAGTCGGATCAAAAATCGACCAGGGATTTAGAAACTACTTTGTCTTAGCTATATTTTGGTATACAGCATGGCTAAGTAGGTGATCAAATGAAGAGACTTGTCTGTGGCCGAAAGTACATTGGTCATGTTGTAGTAGGTGAAAGTTGATAGTGTGACAAATGCAAAGGTGGTTATGAGGAGTTAGGGTGCTACTACAACTCAGTAAGCAATAATCGTTTAGAATTAGCGTCGATTTTGCATTAGCGAGGACTTGTGGTACAGTACCCACCATCACCGTATCCACTTTAACTATCAAGGCTTAAGCCAATAAAAGACCATATATTACGCTTAGACTGTGCTCCTCCATCTCTATGTTTAGAAATTAAACATTTAACAATTATTTTAGCCTCATATAACCACAGCTGGTGTTCATCGGGTATGCCACTATATGTACAATATTGCTGTAAGCAGCGTTCAAAAAAAGTTTCGGTTTTTGTTGGTCCCATAGGTTCTAATGCTTCCTTTACATCTTTGAACGGGTTTGCTTCCTATATTTAATTAAAATACGGCCTGATTGCTGTTTTAATATTCGTTTAAGTAAGCATGTTAACCGTCACTTCATTTGATGATTTTAGAAATCTTAATGTGAATTCTGAATTAATTATTGGTCTGAAAAGATCAAGAAAATTTTTTTATTCTTTTAGTATCAATTACATCACACTTCTGATGAAACTGTACGATTTCTTACTAAACATGTTTCATCGTATACCTTCCTCTGCAAGCTGCGCGTTTTTTATTTTTTTCCCACCGCGAAAGAGACCTTTGAAACCGCCGTGATAGACGAAAATCGACCATTTCATGTCCGAACAAGAAGAACGACGGTGTTGTCTCGCCATACTTCGGGTAATGTAGGTTTTATACTGTTTTTAAAAAAAATTTAACTGTTTTGCGTAGAAAAATATAATTTTTCGACCTAAAAGCAGGCGGTAGACGTCAGATTTGACATAGTTTGCCTTGTGCAATATAATTTTTCAACCGAAAATCGCAAAAAACGGGTCCTAGACATCAAAGTTAACCTAGTTTGGTTAGTACAATGTAATTTTTCAACCGAGAATCACAAAAAACGGGCCCTAGACATCAAAGTTGACATAGTTTACCTAGTACAATATAATTTTTCAATCAAAAAAGCAGGTGTTTAAGTCAAATTTTACCGAGATTGCGTTGCTAGGATAAGAAAAATCTAAACAGGCGATCGTGCAAAAAAATTTAGCTTCATTGAGCACAAATTCGTCCCTTGGTCCCCCCTTACCACTTTTTTTACACCGCCTCGACGAAAAATTAAAATTTGTCCAATTCAGTTTTTTCGACAAACCAAAACCTTAAAACTCAGTCCGTTCCTTGGACAAATCACAAAAATCCATGGAAATGTAGTCGTGCAAACTGAATTTGCAGATTTTAGTCCAACGCGTGGACATAGGTTGGCGAAGGCTCGCCCAAATGGACTTTATTTGGCGATTTCAGTCCAAAGTGGCACTTTGGACTGAATTTTGCACTTTTTGCTGGATTCACTTTTGAAATTTATAAAGCCCGATCCATATATAGGACTTTAAGTCAACTTCCGATTGAGTTTTCACCCCTAAAAACCTAAAATGGGCAGCTAAGATTTATATATCCTTGATCAGCACATTTTTTCTGATTTTTTGAGATATGTCCCGTCAAAAAGCAGGAGCCCCCATAAAAGTACTTTCCTTGTTAGATAAAAAAACTCTTGTAAAATGATATTGCGAAGAGCTAGATCAACTTTTTCTGTCTAGAAATTTCTATTCTTTATAACAGCTGGCCAATGTAAACAAAACCTCCGAAAAAATGGGTTTCCAACATTAATTTATATTGCACTAGACATCAAGTCTAAAAATCTCAAATTCTCGGTCTATTCTTAGATTTCAAGCTATAAAAAGACTTCATTAAGACTTTTAAGACATAGTAAAAACGGCTATATTAAGACCAATTCCTCAGTTAAATCAGTTTATTTTCAACCTCAATTTCTCCCATTTTCAAAGCCTCTATTCCAAGCTCATTCCATGATGTTCCTTGGTGCTGTTTCGTTGCAATTTGGTCAATCGTTCATTCAACTCTTTCATCACCATCGTTTTATCGAACTTTTGATGGTAATTCGGGGCTTCGAACATCAAAAAATTGGCGATCCTCAGAAAAACCGGGTCCGTCAAGGGCCGCATGATGGTGATGTGGTCTCTGTATTCGACCAGCTCGATTGGGACGGGTTTGTGGAAGCGTTTCAGCAAGGAAATCGCGTGTTCAAATGGGATTACCGAGTCATTTACACCATGCGCAATGAATACCGGGACATCCACCAAAGGGGCTTTTTCATAACTAAAAGTCAAGATAAACAAAAAATAAAGACTAACAAACCTTTTGAAGGAATCTGTGATGAAACTTTCATTGCGATTCGGCTTGTTACAAAGTACCCGTAGGCCAGATGTAAAAGGGGCCATTAAAATGAGTCCAGAGAGTCCTACTGGTTGAGTTGAAGCCAAATGAATTACTGCCGCTGTGCCGAGACTGAAGCCCATCAAATATATCTGAAAATTATTATCTATTTCTATCTAAAACAATATCAAAAAAGGCAAAAAAACCCATTCGACCCTGACAGGACTCGAACCTGCAATCTTCGGATCCGAAGTCCGACGCGTTATCCATTACGCTACAAGGCCACACTTTTCATTTCATTTCTTTTGCCAAAGAAGGGAAAGAGGCAAAGAAGAAAGATCAAAGATCACTCAAATTTTTGAAAAATATGAAAAAAATCAAAAAACTCACTTCGCAATCGGGTCGCTGTTTTCTGACATACTCAAACACAGCAGTTATGTCGGCATAAATATTCTTCTCCAAGGTGGTACCAGAGCTTGCGCCAAAACCGCTGTAATCAAACGCATAGACATCAGCGCCCGTTAGACTGGCGATATCTCTGAAGGAGATGATCGAAATCCCATGATTTCGCCAAATAAAATTGTGGAGATTCGAGCTGTTGGGTTGTGCGAAGATTATCACCTAAAAAATTATATTCACCATGAGGCATTTAGAGAAAACTTTCGAAAAATGAGTCTAAACCCAAAAATTATAGGGAAAAAAGCGTCCTACTTTCTTCTTCATCTCTTCTGGACGTTGTGTTTGGCAAGGGACGTAGACACAAGCCAGATAATTGCCTCTGCTGGTCTTCACAACAAACCCTTCCATCTCCTCCAATGGTCGATCCGTAAAGCTTCTGTCCACAAATTCTCTGGGCAATTCCACTGCAACTCGAAGCACAGTCTTTCCGTATGCTCCCTTGGCCAAGACCGGCATCTCTTGACCGGTCTCTTCATCCTTCACAACAAAGTAGTAACCGCATCCTCTCGGCGGATGAAAGGCAATCTTTTTTGTGACCAGCGCTGGGATCGGCGGCGTAACCACGTAGCAGATGATGCAACAGGACTGAAAAATATAATTTTAGGTAATAATTTAGAGGATTATAGGAGAAATAAAAAATTTCGATATTACACATGACCAACAAACGGATATTAATTTTGCACATGTCAAACGGCGCCAAAATCATTGGCATTTCACTCAAACTCGAAGTTCACAACCTGCTCTATCTAAACATACAAGAATCCCAAGAAAAACAACTCACCGCAGCGTACTGCAGAGCGGCAAACAGTCCTCTCTTACAACCATTTTTGAATCTCCTCCAACGAGTTGGTGGTTCAGTGCCCTTGCCGACTGCTCGACTGGAGCTTGGACAGTTAGATTCTTTCCTTGTGAACCAAGTGTCGGTCGATCCAGCCGTTCTTTCATCGGATCCCAACCCCTAAAAATATTTGGATATCAAGGATTACATAATCGGCAAAAATTAATGTAAACTCGAGGAAACAGTGTAAAATACGCATGAAAACGCCGGAAAAAAAGGTAAGGTGTTATTTTTTTCATTGTAAAAAATTTTTTTACGACTAAATATTGGGCGCAGCTCGGTTGCAGACCGCGGGGACATCTTATACGAAAAATTGAAAATGCGCTAAACTGGGCCAAAATTCGAAATAGTTAATGAAAAAAGTAATAAATCGCACCTTTTTGCCCTCCATCACTCCCGAAGCCAGATTTCTTGGGTCCATTCCAAAAACTTTGCGGAAATTTTCCTCGTCAAACGAATTCGAGTCGCTGTCTTGTGTAATGTCCTCGGCCAGCGGCTGCGTGGTCCCCGAGCTGCCACGCCGCGAATTCCGCCCACTTTCGGTCAATCTGATTGCCGAATTGTCGTTATACGTCATCGATGGGGCTTTTTTCAAGGTCGGGAAATAGGTGGATTGGACTTGAAGTTGAGTTCGAGGTTTGGGTTTTGGCAGCTGCAAGATGATAAAATGATGATTTGAGCGGTTTTTTATACAGTATTTACCTCAAAAATCGGTCCACTTGGCGGAGATTCGATCATTTTTTCATCTTTTGTCCCAGTATGTAGGAGTATTGAATCAATTGCCTCGGGGGATGTTTTAGCTTTGGAAGTGGTCGAATGGGACTTGATAATATTTAGTGGACGTTGAGAGAATGTGTCTGGCTTGTCACTGAGCTCAAGAGATGTTGCTTGATCAGCCTGAAAATCAGAAAAAAGTTAAAATTTGCAAAAATTATCAATTTTTTCAGGAAAAAATTTAAATTTCACATAGATAACATCAAATTAATGCTAAAAAGGAAGCTGTACAAGCTTCTCGCTATCATATCCACTCTGCACACATCAACTTACCATAGTATTTTTCAGTCAGTCACTCTTTTTCGGCAGCTTTTCCAAATTTTTGCCGATTTTTTCGCAAAATCCGCCGATTGATCGACCGGTCGGCTTTGAAAAGTCCCGAAAATGCCCTCCAATTCTCATGAGATTCCTCTAATTTGCCTACATTTGCATAACTTCTCAAGAAACGCACAAAAAATGAGGAGATCGTCACATTTGTTTAGTTGCAACGTATTGTGCAGTCGGCGAGCGGTTTGAAATCTCTCACTGCGGAGCCATCTTCGAAGAGATTTTCGATTCCAGGATTGGCTTGAGGTAAGAGGGCCGGTCCAAGAGCGACTGTGTTTATATTGAGAACTTTGATTTTTATTTGTCATCATTTTGGGTCACAAAATTTGAAAGAATGGATTTTTGCAAAATTTTGGCACTGTGTTATAGCCTTTGCATGGTATATAATGATCGTCAATGCTATCTAGATTATTTTGAGAGTAGTTTTAGAAAGGTATCCGAGTCAAAAATTTCATTTTTCGAAGTTTTTTATATTATCCATGGCATTTTTTGATGATTTTGGTTAAAAGTGTCTAAAATTGGAATATTCTCCCAGCCAATGGCTTAAAATTCATTTAGATGCTTTGTGAGTTCATTCTAGAGCGGTTTACATCAAACATTCTAAGCTTTTTATATTATACTAGGCTTCCAACATTACACTTGCCCAGTTTTCAGTTCGACTCTTCGAGTCCCCAATTTTGGTCTCGAATTGGTTCATTGTGAGTCAATAGCGCCCAAGTCAACGAATCGGCTCTTCTAGACCATCAGCATGGCTGATCCACACACTGTTTTCTGGGCGCTTCTTGCGTTGGCGGCGCCGATTTCGGCCGAACCGGTCGCCGATCCCATGCTCCAAACAGTGGCCATGTACATGCAGGATGAGTCGTGTCATTTGTTCGGGGGCTTCGTTTACGACGGAACCTTTCATCCGCAGCCAATGAAGGACGTGAATTTGTACGTGGTGGAGGAGGGAAAGGTTGAAGAGGCCGACAAGGGGTGCAAAAGAAGTTTGAATTCGATTGTTCCGCTGATGCATGGACACTTTTTGTTGGCGATCAGCAAAGGCAAGTCGGAGAACACCAAGTTCCATTATGCGGTGAGTTTTTTTCTTTTTTTTTTCTTTTTTTTCTTTTTTTGAAGAAAATAGGGGCTTTGGGGTACCCTATCAATTTTTTCTATCTTTTCTTTTACAAAAATCCCTTTTTTTTAACAACTGATTTGAATTCTAGCTCCACAAGTTCGACAGGGAAAGGGGTCTTGGCGTGGCCAGACTTTTGATCGAAGAGGATTACGAAGTTGCAGCCCAGACCGAAAACAATGTCAAGTACTTCCTCCAGTGGTGTTTCAATGAAATGCAAGCATTTGTGATCTGCGTTGGATATAGAGAGGTAGGGATATTGCTTATTTGGGATTTGTACGGGTTCTTTTTCGGGTTGAAGTTAGTTTCAGTGAAAGTTCATAATTTTTTGGGTCCCACCACGAAAGTCTTAAAAGTGCTGATTATGGTCTGAAGTGGTTGAAAGTGGGGTAAATTTTGACTAATGTGGTAAAATAGTTTTACAGAGAGGTTGATTGCTGTAGAAGGATTAAAAATGGCACTTTTGGGTCCCACCACGAAAACCTGAATTTTTCCAAAAATGTTCAAAACAAGCCTTTGGCACCGGTTTGTTTCAAGTTTTGCGCTGTGATTACCAATTTTGTTAAAACTTGGCTAATTTTAAGTGGATGTGTTGGGTCCCACCACGAAGACATGAATTTTCCCAAAATATTGCTAACGGGTTAGAATAAGATTTTTTCAGAACGACAATGAAGGACTGATCATCAAACGCTTCTTCTTCGATTATTTCGCCAAGGAGGAGAGGTTCAAAACGACGTCTCCAATAATTGAAGTTCAACTCGAACAGATTACGCACGTCTCCAGAGTGATCTACGATCAAAACAGTGGCCACTTTCTGATCACTCACAAAGGCATTCAGGGCTATTCTGACGTGAGTAGAGGCGTTTTTTGTTTGATTTTCGATTCTTATTTTTTCAGAATATTCTGGAAGAACGGAGTTTGTACGGCCTGGGCTCGGAGGCGCGTCAAATTCGGACCAGTTTCGACCCTGCCGCAGCGATTGGTGTCACTTCGTTTAATGGATACCGGTATGTGTTTGTAACGCCTGAACATCAAGTGTATGATGAGAGCGGTAAAGCCTCGTTGAATCCGCAGGTTCATACGGTAAGTTGATTTTTTTCGAAATTTGAGCCATAAAAATTTTTTGGAAAAAGTTCCTTATTTTGGCCACAATAAAGGTACTCCGCGAACTGCGCCCAAACTTGGGCACTAAAGTTAGGAAAAAACGCTTCGACCTAGTTGGCACTGAATTACTGTAATAGCTCTATAGTTTTAAGGGTACCTACGAAGGTTGTGACGACTCATTTAGTTCCATACGGAGGCAATAAGTTTAGTGCCGGACATGTTTCATCGTATAAAGTGTTAAATCACAGGCTGCAGCCGTTTTTGAAGGGTAGGGTGGTACGTTAAAAAGAAGGCACGTCACTAACTAAATCCACTGTCCGGGCATTGACAACGATGAATTGAGCGTGCACGCTAAATTTGGGCTAATTCCGACCAGTTTCCGCAAAGTTATAAGTTGTGGCCAAAATAAGGAACTTTTACCAATTTTTTTTACCCTCAAAAAACTAACAAACTAATACCCGTATTTCAGTTCTACCGCGGTTTTACGGAGTCGTTCACTCTCGCCGATGAAGTGACGGACAACGGAAAACCCATGGAAGGATTGTCCCCTCAGGCCCTCCGGCATTTGCAAGTGGTCCATTTGGACGCCAACCCTCTCTACTTGACCCACGGAGTGTCCGGCATGCCCTTTGTCAAGATCTTTGAGCGAGAAAAGGTGTGCGGAAACCCTGTACAGGAAATGGAGAATTGCTTGCTGGCCCTGGAAAGTCGCCAAACCATGATGACTGTCGCCATTATCCTCATTTGCATCACTTCGGTGGTGTTTTTGCTCATTGTGGTGGTGATGGTGATGGTCGTACTCTTCTGTGTCAAGGTAGGAAAAAGTTGGGAATTTTTTTGGGGGTTGCACGGTGCAAGGAAAATTTTTGAATTTTTGCGCAGTGCAAAAATTTTTTTGATATCGAGAACTCAAAACAAGTATTTTTGATTATTTTGTATAAAGAAAGTAGTAAGTTTCGCATCGTCCAAAAAGTTATTAGTCCATTATTTTGGCCTGCACGGTGCGAAAAAAATTTGAATTTTTGCACGGTGCAAAGAATAATTTTTTTAGTTTAAATGTTGAAACTCAAAATAAAGGTATTTTGATTATTTTATATAAAGAAAATAATCTTCGCATCGTCCACAAAGTTATTGAGCGATTTTTTTGACCTGCACGGTGCAAAGAAAAAATTTTATAATTTTTGCACAGTGCAAGGGAAAATTTTGAAAATTTTAGACGGTAGAATAAGCAAATGGATGATTTGGAGTTTTTGTAATAAAACGGTGATTTTTCCGCCGAGTGAAAAACATTTTTAAATGAAATTTTGGTTCTGCACTGTGCGATTAAATGACTTTTGTTTTTTCGCACAGTGCAAAAAGTTGATTGATTTTTTTGCATTGTGCGGATAAAATATTAATTTCATAGATGGTTCTTTAAAAATTTTAGGGGTTTTCACGCTTTTTAGACTACTTTCTTTTAGTTTTTTTCCATCGCACAGTGCAATTTTGAGATTTTTTAATTTTTGCACAGTGCGGGAAAAATTTTGAAAATTTTGCACAGTGCACTAAGATTTGAGGCTTCAAAATTAGTTTGGATACGATGAATTCTCTCATCTTTTTAGGAGCGCAAGAGGAGAAAGCAGCGACGCCTGAAGGTGCATAAGAAGCTCGGCAAGACGTCCGCCAAGTCTGAAAAGACCAAGAAGAAGGAGCCAGGCACTCCAGCTCCATCAGCCGCCGAGGATGAGAAACATATGGATGATCCGGAGTAAGTGGGGATTTTTGGAATTTTTTGAGATTTTTTGTCGAAAAATTTGGAAAAATGGCAAATTTTTTAAAGAAAAGATGACTTTTAATTTGAAAAATTTTTCAAGTGACGAATAATGGGCTATTTTTGTTGTTTTAAACCGATTTTTGTTTGGAAAAGTTTCAAAATTTACCCAGAAATTGCGATTTTTTTATTTTTTTGCCTAAAAATTAGGGTTTTTTCAAAAAAAATCATCAAAAAAATTTTTGTAAAATATACTTTTTTTTGTTATACTGAATGTTTGAGTTGGTCTCTAAAAACTTTATTTTTTCAGTCCGAAAGACAAGAAGGGAATGGGCGGCTTCTTTGCGCAGCAAATGCGAAAACTGGCCCAAATGGATGAGATGGAGGAGATCGAGAAAGAAAAGGAGCAAAAGAAGAAGGGCGGCGACGACGAGGAGGATGACAGTAACTACGTCCTGGCCAAGGACCACTTCGACGCCAACGAAGCCGCGAATCCGGACAACAATAATGCGCCGGCGCCCGGAGCCGATGCGTTTGGAGCGCTGGCCCCAACCCAGGAGCCGGCTCCAGATCACAAATCCGCCCAGTATGAAGCCCCTGAAGCCGCCTCTGGCGTCGGTAAATAAGTCCTACGATTATGGTAGAGATTTGATCAGGTTTTATTTGAATATAAAGTTTTTTTGAGGTATTTGAATATTTGATTTTTATGGCCTTTCATCTTTTCATCTTGGCATCCCAAGTATCGTACAATTTCTCGAAGTACTCGGCGTTGTCGTAGCGTTTCACGATGGTCTCGCCGAGAACATTGACTTGCTCCACTTGAGTCCGAGAATCTTCGCGGTGGCCAAATAAGGAACTGAAAAACGAATGGAAATTGTTTGTAGACGGCCTAGACAATGATATTTAGTTATGTCTGGAAATCCTTTTCGGACTTTTTAAAACTTTATCGCATTCATTTTGGACCCAAAATTTCAGCCCCGGCAGTCTCTGGTTATGTCTAACATACGAAAATTCCGTCCCATTCTCATGAATTTTTCATGGGAAGTGCCTCAAGTTCAGTTCCCAAATTTTCTTTAAATCTTGCAGACAAATTCTGCCTAGGGTTCTTAAAAATTTTAGCCGGCGTATTGCAGCACAACCGTGATTTTTAATCCTTTCTTTCGCCAAGAGAATGTGCAAATTTTGGAGAGCGGCAAGAGAAAAAAGTTCTTGGGCTCTCCTATTCCTGGAGGAAAAAAAATTGATTTCCTGGAAAAATGTTGTTTTCCGCAGTAGAAATAAGGCTGAAATTTTTGATGAATAAACTCGCAAAAACGTTTTAAAGTTTTATCTCATACTCCTACAATTAGCGGGATTTTCAGCGAAATATTCAACGATCTTAGAAACCATGCAAACATCGTAGAGCGGTCATAAAAAAAGCGTTTTGACAATGTCTCCAATTTTGCGGAGAAAAAGTTTTTCTTTGCTAAAACATCGCTCTCACCGAAGGGAAAAAACTGCAATATTCTCACCAGCAAACCCACAACAACGACCCACAAGAACTTGTTGAACTATTATAGCCAACTTTCGGACTAAAAATCTCAGTTCTCTCTGCAAAGCGTGAACCTTGCTCATGTCTTAAAAATTTTGTCCAAATTTGAGCCATGTTTTTTCAGTCTGTCGGGGAAATAATCTATATAATTCGTCACAAGTTAGAGGGTCGCTGGGAAGAGGAGGATTTTTGATGTTCTGTCAGTCTGTCGGGAAAATAATAAGCACAATCTGGCGTCACCGATTGCGTTGCTAAAGTGAAAAGCAATTTAATTTTGTCACGACAACATTTTCTTTCTCGGCGGCGATGCGGCTTTTGATGCGATATTATGCTCATTATTTTCCCGACCCCAAAATCTGAGGGTCGCACTTGGATCATTCTCCTTGTAAAAACTGTTTTCCACCAAATTCTACATGCACTTTTGGCGTATCAGGGTCTTATTGATGGTTCCCACGAATCGTTGGGACCGTTCCCTCGCTACTCATCAACGTAGTTTATGCCTGACAAAAAGTGTTTTTATGGTTTTCCAGCCGTAAACTACTATTCTACATCTCTATTTTGCTACGTGCAACCTACACAAGCTTACATAAACATAAGTATTATGAACGTTTCCTCCCACTTACCGTGTGATTTTCCACGCGTCCGCATGATTGCGCAACAAGAACCATGGGAACAGAAACGCATACGACGCGCAGATGAGGTCATAAAAGTTGGAGACAACCCGAAAAGTGTACAAAGTCTCCGGCCGCTGCAGCCAAATAATGATGACTACCATGAGAAGTGAGGTCGTGATGTTGCAGTAGGCACAAATGTAGATTACATATTCGAAGGTTTTGAGGGTCCGCACATTCTCCGTGATCTGGTACTTCTCCGCCAACGACAGCTCGCCTTTGTTGAGGTAGTGGCGGGTGTTCACTCGTTTCACAACAAATAGACCCTGCAAATTGTAGTAAATAAATGAAATACAGTGGCGGACCTGATCCACTGACAAAAAGTATACCATTTTGCATTCCGGAAGTATCAAAAACGTGGCAAAATACCTCCATTTACAAGTCAAAGACTCCGATTTCAAAAGCTCTTTTTGTGAGGGAAAGGGCGCCTTCTTTAAAATGAAGTTTTTTCATATGGAGAAGGAGGTATTTTGAAGCATTTTCGATACTTCCCGGATGCGAAATGGTACGTTTTTTGCAATTGGACAAAAAACGGTTCTCTACTGTAGAAGACAATCGAAGGACTTACAATTCCAGGAAGTATGATGGCTAACACTGGAACAATTATTTTGAATACTGCTGGCCCTGAAAAGACGAAAGTTTAAAATTTTAAAAGAACATGCAATGACGGAAATGATCCAGTGGCAGAAATGTACCATTTTGCATCCGGGAAGTATCAAAAATATGGCAAAATGCTTCCCTCTCCAAGTGAAAAAACTTCGTTTTGAAGGGCCCTCACAAAAAGGCGGGAGCCCTTTTGAAATCGGGGTGCCTTTCACTTGGAGAGGGAGGTATTTTACCACATTTTTTTGATACTTCTCGGATGCAAAATGGCACATTTTTTTTGCTGGATGAGGTCTGCGACTCTTGGCTTTGGTTGGAGGAAAGTTTACTTGAATTTATAGCATTATTTGCTCTAAAATAAGTGTCATATCCCACATACAAAAAGTCACTTCTCATGATTTTTTACAACAAAAGTTTCTCAAGTTCGGAGCTCAAATTTTCTTTAATTTTTGCAGACAAGTTCTGCCTAGGGTTCTTAAAAATTTTAGCTGGAAGGATGCAGCTTCAACCAAGATTTTTAACCATCTCGTTCGCCGAGAGAGTGTGCGAATTTTGGAGAGCGGTAAGATAAAAAACGTTCTTTGCGCATGCCTCTCCCATTCCGGCGGAGAAAAAAATTGATTTTCTACAAAAATATTTCTTGTATTTGTAGAAATCAGCCTGAAATTTTTGATGGATAAACTTGCAAAAGAAGTGTCAATTCTTGACAAAATTTTGGTGTAAAAATTTCGGTTTTTTCTACAAAACATAAGCCCAAATTCTCTAGGATTCAACGATGACAAGAGATTTAAAAAAATCGTGGTTCATCGTAATGCATTCCATGGAAAAACGTTGCTTTCTCTTTCACCCTCCCTCTCTGCATACTAAATTTTTCATCGCCATAAAAGGTCGTCGAATTTGTCTCCTAATTATCACATCTTTTTTTAAATGCCGCAGTCGAAAAGCCTAATCTGAATGTACAGGGCGTCCAGAGAAATTCCGCGGAAAGTGTTTGACGATTTCTCGGCGCCTAGGCAAGATATCCAAAAAAATCTTTTTGCATTAGAAAGAAGACTACGGGCGGTTTTTTGTCTAAAAAAGATTTTTTGTCCGCCGACGCGGAACATACTGTATTCGGCGGAGACTTTTGGTAGCTTTTTTGGTCATCACACCAATCTTGAGCGCTTTACTATGATCCTGAAACTATCGGGGAGCCTTCAACTTTTTTCCACAAAGAATCAGGGGACCGACGACAATGCTACGCAATCGCATTTAGCGACTGCACCGCATTGTGTAGTTGCGTCAACAGCGAAAAAGTCCGACCGTATCGTGCGGAGGTTTGAAACAGCGGGGCAAAGACAAGTTCAAACAAAAAATATTTTGTTGTTTTCTGGTACACCAAGTCGTTTACTGATGGCTAAGCTGTTGCCAAGGCTTGGCGACGAAATTTTGGAGAGCATATGGGATCAGCAAAGAATGCTAGCCACGTAATGTTTGGGGCATCTCCTATCCAAAACTGAGTTGTGGCCTCCGCCGATACGGAAAGCTCCCATTCCATTGCCGAACGTTTGGTAAATATAAAAATAAGATAACATTCTCTTTTTAACCATCAGAAATCGTACTGAAGCTTTTAAGATTGGTGTGATGACCAAAAAAAGCTACCAAAAGTCTCCGCCGAACACAGTAGGTTCCGCGTCGGCGGACAAAAAAACTTTTTCAGACAAAAAACCGCCCATAGTCTTCTTTCTAATGCGAAAAGAATTTTTTGGATATCTTGCCTAAGCGCCGAGAAATCGGCAAACACTTTCCGCGGAATTTCTCTGGACACCCTGTATAAATTAGTTGAAAAGATTAAAAATTCGTTAGCCTTTGCAACAGGTGTTCAGGGTGCACTGTTAAATGACAAAGAAAGCTTTTGAATATTCTCCAATGATCATCAATTATATACATGTTTAATTATTGGTTCCCGACCAAAGTTGCTTTGCAAAGACTCGATTAGCAAAGCCAATTGTAGCTATTAGCGAAGATAATTGCTTTTGGCGTAATTCATGTCAAAAATTTCGACATGGATTCAATTTAGAGACCAAGTAGCATTATTTTTCTTGCAAAACGCAATTATTTTGGCGAATCACTTATTGCAAAAAAAATTGAATGAGAAATAAGGGGAAAAAAGTCCACTTACCGTCGCTGTCCAGCCAATTGAGAAGGTAGCCGATGCCCCACTGAAAGTCAAAATTTTAATATGTATGATTTTCACAAGGAGAATTGTTTAGGGATATTTTTTTAAAATCCGTCCTAATAAGGAACTTCTTTAGATGAACGACTCAAATTTTCTTGTAAAAGGTGATTCAAAAAATTAGTTTTTTAATCCAGTCAAGAGCGGGAATTATACGAAAGAACTAGGCCATAAAAACACTTTTTGCCGTAGTTTATTTAAAAAAAAAATTATTATAAAAAAGCTCTACCAGAGAAATTATTTTCTCTGGTTGAAAAGCCACGAAAAGTTTCACGCCAAAATTTGTAAAAAATTGTCACATTTTTTACAACGTTTGACCTAAAAATCTCGTTCGTTTCTTCAAAGTGCGGGCTAGGAGTCTCGCAGATGCTTCGTAAAAAAATTCTCTAAATTTGCGCCAAGTTTCATTGAGATCTGAGCGTGGCACATGAGGCACTTCCCCTGCTAGCCCAAAGTTAACTTCTGTCTGGCAGAGGAAGTTCCCCAACTGCGACGCTCAGATTTTGATGAAAGTTGGCACAAGTTTAGAACAATTTTTTCTAAAATATATGCGAGAATCCTAGCTCGCGCTTTGCAGAAATAACCGAGATTTTTAGATCGAAAGTCGGCGAAAATTTGAGACTTTTTGCCAAATTTTGGAACGAAAAGTATCATGCCTATTTGTACCATAGAGGGTAACGTTTCCACAAAAAATCAAATTTTTCCGCACAAAACTAGCAAAGTTATGGCCAAAAAGCGTTTTTCTCTCTGACCGCTCTCCGCGTTTAGCGTACTCTCTCGGCGGCAAAGATGGTTCAATATCTCGGCGGCGATTGCAAAGTGCGAGCTAAAACTTTCAGGAGTTGATATTTAATTCATGCCCAAAGAGTGTGCTAATCTAAAGAAAAATTGAGCGTCACACACGGGGTACTTCCCTTGCAAATTCTTGCAAATTTTGTCCAAAGTACATAGACATAAGACTTCATTAAAAAGACCAAGTTTAGTCCGTCGGTCACGGGTTTAGTTCTTGGTTACAAAAAATTTTGTTCTTAATTTGCTTTTGTAGGGAATGTGTAGACTTTGCTCATCCCATCACCTACAAATAATATGTATTTGCACCCAAAACCCCTTATTTTCCCGACTACAAATCGTCTATCTCCAGCTAAGAGGGGGGTTATTTACGATGTTTGGTTCTCACCTGCAAAAGTGATATCAAAACTCCCCAAAAGAATCGGCTGCTTTGATAGTCCGGATAGAACGTTGCCATCGTCCGTTCAATAATCACTCCCAGATGGGCCAAATTGCAGCCCACCATCATCCAATTGCGGTATACATACAATTGCGCCATCACGTGGTCAGTGAAAATTTCCCCATATCGAATGGTTTGGATGACAATGAGAATTCGCAAAGTAATTTCCAAAATAAACAGCAAAATATTGGAGAAGCAGACGATCCGCAGGTTCACATGGAAGGTCCGAATTTTGACGATGACAATAAATAGGAGCGCAAAGTTAATGTAGCTGAGAGTGAGCAGGGTGAGCTCGAAAATGAAGAGGCACATTCGGAATGTGTTGGGGGTATCTGTCTGAATCAGGAAACCAACGTGATCCTGGTCGAAGGAACTCGACATTCCTGGAAACACCAGGTCATACATGGCTAATGGAATAACCGAATAGAGTCCAAATTTACGGAGCTGTGGGATAGTCCCTGCTCTCTACAAAACAGCGGTTTGAATAAGGAAAAAAGATAGTTTAGAGCCTTTAGAAAAAGTAATCAAAATATTGATGATTACAAATACAATAGTTACTGTAACTTTTTACAGCCGTAGAATAAACTCCTCTCTTTAGAGGACAGTAAGTCCAATACAAGGAAGCTTTCAAATTGACCGATTTTTCGACCAAATCCAAACAAATAAATGGAGAAATCAGACTCTTTATAACAGCCCAAATACTTGTAATTGCATTAGTAATTTTGACTCAGAATTTTTAATAATAGTAAAGCGGGTTTCATTCTTCATAGGATATTAATTGCCACTCAAGAAAGTAGCCAATTTTCGTAGTTTGGCGGAAAACTGCAGAGATCAAGTAGTTCGATTTCGCGCTGCCAAATATGGTTCGTGGAAGAAGGTAGACGAAAAACACGACTAACCGGTGTAGAAAACCTTTAATTAGGCCAGGCCGAGACTCACACTATATGAGAACATTCTCTCAAAAATTTGGGGAGACCAGCGGTTAGGCGCGAGTAAACGAGACTGTTCTTTGATACGAAAGTAATGTACGTAAAACAACAAAAAAATCGAGGTAAAAAAAGGATGGTAAAATATTTTATTTCCATATAAAAACTACTGTAAAATAGGAGTCTAAACGTGCGGTTCTAAGCTTGTGTGGACAAATGCAATGGTAATAATGACAGGGAAACGGTAATTGTGGGGTGACAAATAAAGATTCATGGGAATACGACAATACTCACGTACGAGTCCAGGTTGAACTGTTTTTTCAGAACCAAAAAAGTGTTCGTTTGTACCTACGATAGAGATATACGGAAACAATTGTATGACAAAGACAGGAAACCCAACAAACTTTGAAGGTTTGACATCAAAAAGGACCCTAATATGATGCCTAGATTTTTATTAAACTTGGAAAATTTTAGAATTGAGTTTTCGAACGTCATAGAGGTCTTACAAGGGAAGTCACTTTTTTCGCAGACGGACTTTGGAACGGTACCTAGTAGGTTTAAAACGTGAAGCGTCTGCGATCATAAAACTGATTTCCAAAAGTGTTTACGGGGCTTCTCGGCCGAGAAAATCGACCACAAAGTTTAGCCGAAATGAGCGAATAGCCTCCTCAAAAGAAACAGCTTATTTCATCTGCAGTGGTGGTCGAGTGGTCAGCGCGCTCGCTTTTTGCGCCAGAAGACGTGAGTTCGACTTCGGTCGTCTGCGGATGCATTTCTTTTGACAATTGAATCAAATAGAGAGGTGCCGTTAACATCACATATCCTAATTATTAGCAATTTTTAATAAAACACAAATATAGAAAGTATATCTTCATCAACTCAGCCCTGTTTTGACTTTACAATATTCATGAACATTCAGCTTTGAATTTATGTTTAAATTACTGTAAAAAATTACAAAAGCGTATACATTTTATGTTTACATACTAAATCAATATTTACGAACCAAAAAAGAAAATAAACTGCGCAAGGGATCGAACCCGCCTCTTCTGGCGCAAAAAGCGAGCGCGCTGACCACTCGGCCACCACTGCAGATGAAATAAGGTGTTTCTTTTGAGGAGGCTATTCGCTCATTTCGGCTAAACTTTGCGGTCGATTTTCTCGGCCGAGAAGCCCCGTAAACACTTTTGGAAATCAGTTGTATGATCGTAGACGCTTCAGGTTTGAAACCTACTAGGTCCCGTTCCGAAGTCCGTCTGCGAAAAAAGTGACTTCCCTTGTTAGAAGCTTAAAGATTACTGGCTATTTTCGGGGGGCTGCCAAGTTTTTTTACAAAAGATTATATTTTTTGGGTAATCATGTTTCTTGGACTCCCTTCATTTTGAGTAATCTCTCATAAAAAATCGTCGAAATACGATTCCTTTCGGAAAGTCGTCAGGCTGATTTTTGGTGTTTACATCTTGCGAAAAAAGTCAGAATGCGACAGCTGAAGAAAGCTTATTGCACGGTGCACGTCAAGCTGAAACAGTCCGGTGAATGGATTGGCAATTTGCCAAAAAAAGACGCGAAAAAACGTTTTGTCGGGGAAGAAATGGGGAATTTTTGGGGCGAGAGAGTACGTTTTTGCGTGTCTTTTTTCTCTCTTTCTCTGTAAAATCAAGACGAAATGTAAACGACCGATAGCGAAGAGTCTATTCCGGTCACCGGACTCCTCAGTTTGACGTGCGGTGAAGAAAGCAAAAAATAACGGCGGATCGTCGCGCCTCGGAATCGCCCATCATCGCTTTGCGACTGCAAGCCGCCGCTTGGGATTTGGTGCGCGATAGCGGCGACGCGAGACATTTTGCTGCCGGCTTCCTTTGAAGGGCGCAGCGAAATTTTCGGGAGTTGAAACGTGGAAAAAAAGGCTATATGTGTGAAAGCTATTCCTTGCTACACCAAGCCATAAAAAATTCTTGGATTCCTGCCCAACCCACATATGCATACATATATTGTAGTTCTGGAAAATCCACGGATTCTAGCGGAAACTAGGTGGCACCTTGGGAAACCTTTTTTGCAAAATATGTAGGATAAACATCCATAAGGGTGAAAAGCACAAGGTTTTCGAACAAAGAAGTAATCAAAAAAACAAATTCGGGTTATAAATAGGCTAAGTTTTCACAAAAATTTACTCTAACCCATTGGGGATCTAATTTAAAATTCCACCTCCAAAAAATAAAAGATTAGCCAGCATTTTACCTGAGCTGCTATATAGCCTCACCCTATTCTCTCTGGTTACAAAAACTTTTGGTAAATGAGGAAAAACACATAGATTTACTCGGCAATTAGCTAGCTGGTGGCTAATTCTAGCCCTTTTTTGCCGGCTGAAGAGCGCAAATTATCTTTCGGAAATACAAAAATAACCACATGCCAAAAGAACATGTAGTTATCTTCGTCACAAAAGAAATGTATTTGTCAGCCCGCTAATGAAGAGGTAATGACTTATAGACTGGGCCAAAGATCGAGGCGAAAAAAATCAAAATTTCTTCGGCCCGGTTCGCTACATTATTCCGTATAATCGCTCCAATTTTTATATAACAATGTAAAAATTGGAGCGAAAATATTTCAAAAGTTTTAAAAAACAACTACAGAAAAGGTTGCTATTGATAACCAAAGCTTTAGTTTCAGCTTCATTTTGTCATACATTTCTGTTTTATTTCCTCTTTTTCAGTACTACAATCTCTAAATTAAAGGTTGTCGAGCCGAAGAAGGCCATTTCAAATTTCCTTCGGCTGCGCTCGAGAGCCATCTCTAGGCAGTTATTGTAGCGAAAAGATGATGAAAATTGTTACCGGGACTCTTGAAACATTACTTTATCTTTTTCTCACCATAACACAGAAAAAACTCGCGTCCAGACTTTTCGGGCTACGAAAAGTTTGGGACAACATAAAATCGATCGATGAGAGGCGTAGGAGAGGTGGATGCTCAAAAAAGGTTGTAGGGAGTGCCTACGAGGTCTGGCAAAGCCGTTGGAGGGTCGGCGGAGGCTTCGCGAAGACTCGGCGCAACTTGACGGAGACTTGCAAAGTGTCCACTTTTTCTTATTTTAGCTAAAACTAACGGTAGTTTTCCTTACCCTGAGCTGTATAAAAGACCAAAATTTGCGGCAAAAAACGAAGATCCGTAATTTTTATCTATGTATTATTGATGTGAGCACATGTAAAATACTTCAGAATAAATGATAAGATATTCTAAAAGCGACAAAGTAAGGAAATTCAAAGTATCGTCGACCCGAACTGTCGCTGACCCGAAAAGTATAGTAGCGACAAAAATCTTACCATACAACATATCAGCGTACCGCTGTTAGCATCCACCGTATTGTGCGTAATAAAACGCCATTTAAAACTCGAACCCAAACTTTATTCAACTCACAGTGGAAGACCTGATTTAGTAGCAAAGAACGTACCATTTTGCATCCAGGAAGTATCAAAAAATGTGGCAAAATGCCTTTCTCTCCAAGTGAAAAAAAAACCCAGATTTCAAAAGCGCACCCGCTCTTTTTGTAGGGAAAAATGGCGCGTCCTTCAAAACGCTTTTTTTCACTTGGAGAGGGAAGCATTTTGCCACGTTTTTGCTACTTCCCGGATGCAAAATGCACGTTTTTTGCCACCAGATCAGGTCCGCCACTGTATTCCAACATCAATCGTGTGTGTATTGTACAATTTCACCCGTTTCAGATTAGCCTAACCTGTTTACCAGCCTCCTTTTCCACTTTAATTTGACTGAAACGTGCAGAAATACGTACTCGACCTTCAAAAGTTCAATCCAATTTTTTTGTAATTACACAGTAATTCAGATGCAATTTATATGCTGATTTGATTCGAAATGCCGACCAGGACCACGCCAATGACTCCAATACAAATTCCGATTGTTAGAATGATGAGATTTCGCTTGCCCTGCAAAGAAAGTTGAGTGAGATATTGGCGTTGCGGCAGAACTCTACCCCTTTTCTGAACTTTACCCCAATCTGAACTTTACCCCTTTTTCAACTCTACCCCAAAAAGGCTGAACTCTACCCCTTTTTTGATTTTCGCCAAAAAATCTGAACTCTACCCCTTTTTGAACACTACCCCATTTTGAAAATTGAAAAAATAAGGTGTGACATCTTATACGATGAAAATTTTTTTCAAATTGAGAAAAATCAGGTGTGACATCTTATACGATGAAAATTTTTTTCAAATTGAAAATAATAAGGTGTGTTTATAATAAGGTGTGTTATTATTTTAAATTTGAAAAACTTTTTCATCGTATAAGATGTCACACCTTATTATTTTCAATTTGAAAAAATTTTACATCGTATAAGATGTCACACCTGATTTTTCTCAATTTGAAAAACTTTTTCATCGTATAAGATGTCACACCTCATTATTTTCAATTTGAAAAATTTTTTCATCGTATAAGATGTCACACCTAATTTTTGCAATTTGAAAAAATTTTCATCGTATAAGATGTCACACCTGATTTTTCTCAATTTGAAAAAAATTTTCATCGTATAAGATGTCACACCTTATTATTTTCAATTTGAAAAAATTTTCATCGTATAAGATGTCACACCTGATTTTTCTCAATTTGAAAAAATTTTTCATCGTATAAGATGTCACGCCTGATTTTTCTCAATTTGAAAAACTTTTTCATCGTATAAGATGTCACGCCTGATTTTTCTCAATTTGAAAAACTTTTTCATCGTATAAGGTGTCACACCTCATTTTTCAATTTTCAAAATGAGGGGTAGTGTTTAAAAAGGGGTAAAGTTCATTCAAGGGGTAGAGTTGAAAAAGGGGTAAAGTTCAGAAAAGGGGTAGAGTTCAGGTTCAACCAGATATTGGAGATGCGCGAGTTTTTGTAACAAAAAAAATGTAGTCAAAGGATAGTGTTTTGAATGGTTAAAAATCTTTGATATCTGTTTTAAATAGGTCATCAAGATCAGGAAATTTTGGCTTGTCAGGCTTTGCATGCTCGCAAAGGAAGTACCCCAAGTGCGAAACGCAGATTCCGAGAAGCTGGGCGCAAATTTAGAATCATTATTTATAAAATATGTATATGCGAGAATCATAGCTCGCGCTTTGCAGAAATCTTAGGTCGAAAGTCAACAAAAATTTCAGAATTTTTGTCGAATTTCGGCACGAATAGTTGCAACCTATTTTTACCATTTCCTACAAAAAAATAAACTTTTTCCGCACAAAACTAGCAAAGTTAAAACCAAAAAAGTGTTTTCTCCCTGACCCTCCACGCTTAGAGTACTCCCTCGGCGGCAAAGATGGTTCAATATCTCGGTGGCACTTGCAAAGCGCAAGCTAAAACTTTCAGGAATTGATATCTAGTTCATGCCCAAAGAGTGTGCAAAATCTAAAGAAAATCTGGGCGTCGCACTTGGGGTACTTCCCTTGTCAGTTTGGCTACTCCCTCCGAAAAGTAAAGTCGTTGGATATCTCAGCTGCTTCTTCAAACTGCAAGGCAAAATTTTCGAAAATCGAAAAGTGCTTTATTAACAGCACTTGAAGAAAATCGAGGGCAACGCATATGTAAAATTCAATGATTTTTTGGACCTTCTCTAGTAAACAATACATATAATTTTTTTCATATTTTTTACCTGTATTGTCCGGAAAATGAAGACGTCAGTGAGAGCTCCGAGAATTGCTGGAAGCTAAAAAGATTTTTTTTATGAAAAAATCGTTGAAAAAATGTCCAACCAATCAAATTTGTGTATAAAAAACATCATCATCTTACCCTTGTGGCGATCGGAAAACTGACGGTTTGTGAGAGGATATGATTTGCAATTATGAACAATGACATTCCCAATGTCCATAAAACTCCATATAACACTGAGGGCAACACCAAGGATGGATCGACAACGGCTTTTTTCCGGCGAATGCAACAGTAGAGGACGAAATAAATGGTGGAGAAGAAAAAAGTCGAGGAAAAATGGACAAACAAGTAGTCAATCGCTGAAAAAAACTTGTTGTAAATAGTAAAGTAAATACTGTAAATTGCAATAGACTAGATTAAATCGCATATAAAAACAATCTTTATCGAAAAATAGAGCATTTTTTAAAACCGAAGGTAAAGTGTCTACTATATACTATAAAAACGCAAGAAAATGTAATGAAAAGAGGCAAAAAAGGATTTAAAAGAATTTCCCGGACCTTCTAGTGCCCTAATTTATCACTTTCTAGATAAACCCGACATTTTTAGCCCCTTGAAACAGAATGCCAAAAATGGCGGCAAACGGTTTTTCAAACCTCAAACTTGTCAGAATTGGCGCAAGCTGTTGCAAAACAAAATTTTAGAGACTGCGGAAAAGAAACAGCATTTTTTCATTTCTGAAATTTGTAAAATACGGCCAGAACATTTACAATTTTTTTTTCAAATTTCCTTACATTAGGTTTCACAATAAAGTAAAAAATATGATACGAACTAAAAAGCTAAGATTAACTCACCGTGATCCGAAGCGTCCTTTTGGTTGTCCTGAATGTAAACAATTGGAGTCAACATGCATCCATGAAGGAGGCCGAGAGCCACGGCTAGTAAAATGTACCTAAAACAATATAAAATTATATGCGAGAAAAAAGAAAAGAATGCTCAACTTGATTGTAATGTGTTCTACTGCAACAAAATTGACCAAAAAATCGATGAATTAAAAATAAAAAAAAAAATTTTGAAAAAATTTTTTAACTGTAAGTTGAAAAAAATCAACTTACACCATCTTTCTCTTCGTGATAGATCCTCTCTGGCTTTCCGCAGTCTCATCTTCATTCTTTTTGTCCTCCTGCTTATTCCCTTTGACCATGACAAAAATCGCGCCACTGGCCAGAGTCAGCACAAGACCCGCATAATTCAACGTCAAGCTCTTGACCTCTTGAATTTTCGTTCCGAATAATCCAAATCGCGCAATACACCAACCAACAACTATCTGACAAAAAATTGTTCGAAAGATAAAAAAAATAAAGGGAAAAATGGGCGATATTGTGAACCTACCATACCTGAACGGTGGTCCAAATCAGCATCCCAAGGCCAACGCCAAGTTCGCTTTCAATGATCGGAACCGAGAGAACATTGCCTGGAAAGGAAAATAAAGCCCAGTAAAGTAAGTATGCGTATTTTAAAAAACGATGTTGGCGGTAATGCTGGGAAGTACCCCAAGTTTGACGCTCAGATTTTGATGAAAGTTGGCATAAATTTAGAATGATTTTTTGTAAAAAAAATAAAATAAAAAAATAATAAACTAAGAAAAAATATATAAAATTATAAAAAATAATAAAAAAACAAAAAAAAATTGCCGATTTTCGGCACGAAAAGGTTTATGCCTATTTGCTCGCGCTTTCCAGAAACAACCGAGATTTTTACATTGAAGGTCGGCGAAAATTTCACTGTAAAGTAAGTACACGTATTTTAAAAAACAATATTGACGGTAATCCTGTGAAGTACCCCAAGTTTGACGCTCAGATTTTGATGAAACTTGGCGCAAATTTGGAATGATTTTTTGTAAAAAAAAATAAAATAAAAAAATAAGATATTTTTAAAAAAATAATAAAACAATAAGAAAATAACAAAATTATAAAAAATAATAAAAAAAATTGCCGATTTTCGGCACGAAAAGGTTTATGCCTATTTGCTCGCGCTTTGCAGAAACAACCGAGATTTTTACATTGAAGGTCGGCGAAAATTAGACAATTTTTGCCGAACTTCGGCACGAAAAGTCGTATGCCTATTTCTACTGTAAAGGATAATGTTTCCCCAAAAAATCAATTTTTTCCTCGCGAAACTAGCAAAGTTATGGCCAAAAAGTGTTTTTCTCCCTTCCCGCTCTCCACGCTTAGTGAACTTTCTCGGCGGCAAAGATCGTTCAATATTTCGGTGGCGCCTGCAAAACGCAAGCTAAAACTTTCAGGAATTGATATTTAGTCTATTCCCGACGCGTGTACAAAATTTAAAGAAAATATGAGCGTTGGGGTACTTCCCTTGTCAAAAGAGAAATTTCAAATCAAATTTTGAGCAGATATCTCCTCAAAAAAATTTCCCAATTTGCATGTAATCTTACCCGTGGCATACAAAAATCCTCCGAAAATGGCGATCCAATTGAACGGAGGGAAGTCGCGGATAATATTGATGACAAAACCAACGCAAAACACGACTGCGCATTGAACCCATTGGACGAAAAATCCTGAAAAAATACGTTCAAATAACAACGTCAAAAAAGGAGGGCAAAAAAAATTCATATTGAAAAAAAACTCACCATCTTTGCACTGATATCTTCTCAATGGAATAAACATGCCCCCAAATGAAACACAAGCCACAATCAGCAGGCCAAAGCCAAGCAATTGGTCGCCAAAGGCTGGATCTTTATCAGCCATGTCAGTTTGTCAGTATCTGCAATTTTTTGACCATTACTTTAAAAAAAAAACTTTAAAATTAAATTCTAATGACTTCAAAAATCCGCGGAAATTCATAAGAAAATGTTCCAAATTCTACGTTAAAATTTTGATGAAATTTGGCAGAAATTCAGAATATTTTTTTCTAAAATACCCGCGAGAGTCCGATTGAAATTGAAATCGAACGAAAATTTGTAGCGAATATTTTTTACGAAAACTACTGTACCTATTTTAATGGTAATTTTTCTATAAAAATCTGCTTTTCTTGCAAAGCTGGCAAGTATATATATAAGAGTAAGAAATAACGCACCGTTCGTTCCAAAGCAAAACGCCAAAAACGCTTTCCTGACATTTTTTTGAAAAAATAGAATGGAAAAAAACAGACCGATATGAGAAAAAAAGTACGGAAAAGCAAATTTTAGCGTCTTTTTCAAAATCCCCAAAACGGTCTTATTTTGTAATATTAGGTTTAGAAGTATGACTTTGCCGTTTTTTTCTGCTGATCGTTTTGATCATAGCAAAAAAATTTTTACCCTAAACCTTATTCAATTTTATATTCTATAATATTATTAGTTACGAGTTGCTTCGGTAATTTGGTCAACTTTTCAATCCACCAAAGAAAAAATTTGGCTGTTTTGAAGCCGTCCAAATATCAACCCAATTTTTGGCATCATTGTGTTTAGCGAAGCGCTGCTGCCTCAGATCGTGAGCTATCGGGGGAAATAAGTGCTTATCTGAAAGCTCGTTGTCCGTAGAGTATAGCGGGTGAGGTAGGGCCTCCCATCCTAGCTGTTCTGTGGTGTCCTTGACCAGTTTTTCAACATGGGTTCTAGCGTGATCATGCAGCAAAATAAAAATTGGTCATTCCGCCCGCTTTAATCATAGCTCTCCGTTCAATTCCAGCGACCGCTGTTTTCAACGGAGGCCAATAACCGTTTTACCGGGTAGTAAGAGCTTACAATGAAGAACATCTCCATAGGCGTATTTCAAAAGTCTATGTTTACTTCAACAATAAAAGAAAAAAACAAAGCTTTCCAGATCATAAAAAAATTCACTAATGTTTTACTTATTCGTTTGAATGGTTGATAAGAACCTGGCGGGAGCAAAAAGACTACAATTGCCATTAGAATTACAAGTGTGTTGTGTTTTATCCTAATAAAATTTTAATATCATTCAATTTTTTTTGATGTTAATGCATCGCCTGGGAAATGAATATAAATCGAATCATTGTAAAACGAATTTTCGTAGGGCAAATAGGGCAAAACTTGCGTATTAGCAGCAATTTCAAAGGCCGAAAAACCATATATTCTTTTGATTATCTATAGTAAAAACTAGGGTTATAACAAAAGGCGTATTTTAAAAACTGAAGGAAGCAAAATCTTTTTTCTTTTTTTGTAACAAACAGCACTAAAAGTTAAAAGAATATCCCTCGATAAACGATTAAAACCGCGATCAAAAAATTTGTATTTTAGTGGGGAAAACAAACCGGATCTTTATTATTTGCACAAAAAATCGGAAAGGAAAAAGCGAACCCTATTAACACATAGGAGCGCAATAAAGGGTTCTGACATACCACGAGAGAGATATGATTCTCTTTTCTGTTTTTTTATCACTTATGACGAGAGCAAATTTCATTTTGGAAGTTCATCGGGGAAAAAAGAGTGACAAATGAAAATCGAGCATGGTCTTTTTAACGCTTTTCTTTAAAAAAAAAGAAAAACAATTGAATGATATTTGTAAAGAAAATGACGATGCATAGGCGCCAGACGTCTACCAGACGTCCTTTTACTCACTTTGAATCGATTGAAATCAAACAAAATGTCAGGAAAGAATTTTTCGTGGGGTTTCCCGGCCAAAGAGTATTTTTCTCGGAATTATTTTACTTTTTTGTCAATTTTGACACTTCATTTGGGCGAAACTCAAAAAATGGGCGCGAAGACTTTTTTTGACTTATTGCTTTGTCAACATGATATAAACAACGCACGTCAAACTGAGATAAGCTAAAACGGTACGGTGAATGGATTGACAATTCGCCAAAAAACACGCGAAAAAACGTTTTGTCGGGGAAGAAATGGGGAGCTTTTGGGGCGAGAGAGTACGCTTTTGCGTGTCTTTTTTCTCTCTTTCTCTGCGAAATCAAGACGAAGTGTATAAAACCAATAGCGAAGAGTCTATTCCGCTCCCCGGACTCCTCAGTTTGACGTGCAAGGTCTTTTTCGATAAATCTCACCATTTTCACGCCTTCTGATTTTTTTTCAAAACAAATTTTGACCAGTTAAAACCAAATATTTCAAATATTTTTCCGATAAATTTTTGGGTAAAAAGCCAAGTTAAAGTGTTCCTTTCTTTTCCGTTTTACGTGAATTGCAAAGCAACCGAACCTTCACACCTCAATGTTGCACCAAAGTAAAATTCATCGACTGAGAAACAATGAAAAAGTGGCTTGAAACAAACATTGTTTTGAAAAAATAAAAATTTCAAAAGCATCCAGGTAGTCTTTCCTTTATTTTTCTGATCAACGATTAAATATTAATTTTGAAAGACGATAGTTAAGAGGATTTCCAAAGCCCAGTAGAACTATTTACCCTACCCGTGAAGGGTAAATAGCGAACAAAATAAGCCTACATAATGGGTATCACCAAATTTCGACTTTATTTTATACACCTATTGATCAATTCGAAGATTTTCTTGTCGAAAAATTTTTGTGGATAAGCTTTGTTTTATCTAGACATGGCTAGTGGGCCGAACGAGTTTTAAAGGCCCCGGGGCCGGGCCGACCTCTTCCGGCCCCCGGGCGGGCCGCGATTTTCGGCCCGGCCCCCCAGCCATGTCTAGTTTTATCAGTCTGTCGGGAAAATAATGAACACTTTGTCGCATCGAAAATAGCATCACTACCAAGGAAATGAATTGCATAGTTGCAAGAAAAAATAATTTTGTACTTCAGCGATGCGATTGGCGCAACGACATTTGAAAATATAATTTTTTGATTTTTTTTCACAAATACTTGATTTGGGGGTTTCGACCACGCTGATTATGAAAATCTCATTTATTTTTTTGATTTGAAAGCAGCACCATCGAAAACCCCTAAATCGAATATTCATGAAAAAAAGTTCAAAAAATTACAATTTTACAGTACTACTTAAGAAAAAAGAGTACTCATCCAAAAAAAATGAATGTCATTTTCGAAATCAGCACCCTCGATTATCCTAGTTTCGATAATTGCATTGAAGAAAAATAATAATTTTCGGTTTCCTCAATCGTCCCAGTTCCGTGCACATTATTTTCCAGACAGACTGAAAGAAAGCTTCTTTGAATGCATTTCATGAATTTTTTTTATTACACCTGATGAGGTTGCTTACAATTAGCCATAAATTCAAACAATAACATAGCAAATCTTACAGTACAGTCATTCCCAAGCAATTTCAAACAGAAGATCGCCTTCAAAATGTTACTCGATTTTTTTTCCAACTCAACACATAAAATATGTAAATTTGTTCCTTTTATCATATTTTGTCGCTTTTGTTGAGTAAAAGAAAAAAAGGAAATTTTTATGGGCCTGGCAAAAGTCCCTTCTCTTTTTGGCCAAACGGAATTTTCGGCGCTAAATTGAAACAATCAAGCAGGGATTCGTGGCCATGTTCTCTTCTGTTTGCTCTTGTTTCGTGTTGCGGTTTGCTTTTGGGAAATGTTTTACATATGTATAAAGAAAAAACGTTTCTATTGCAACTATGTAAAACGAGATTTTTTGCTTGAATTTTTACAGGGACAGTAGCCTAAGTGCGACGCTCAGATCTTTATGAAACTTGGTACAAAATTAGAATTTTTTTTAAAAAATATATGAAAGAATCCGAGCTCGCGCTTTGCAGAAACCACCGAGATTGTTAGATAGAAAGTCGACGAAAATTAAGACTTTTTGCCAAATTTCGGCGCGAAAAGTTTCTTGGCGATTTTTACCGTAAAGGGTAATGTTTCCACAAAAAAACAATTTTTTACACGTGAGACTTGCGAAGTTACGGCCAAAAATCGTTTTTCTCTCTGGCCGCTCTCCGCGTTTAGCGTACTTTCTCGGCGGAAAAAATTGTTCAATATCTCGGCTTCGCCTTCAAAGCGCGAGCTAAAACTTTTTTTTCGCAAAGTGGTTGCCCGCAAACGTGGGCCCGTTGTTTTTTAGTTGTAAAATACGTCTTGCCGAGTGCTAGTATTAAATTTTACCTCACAATGTACAGTGGGGGACCTTTTCCAGTGGCAAAAAACGTATTTATAATTTTGCATCCGGGAGGTATCAAAAATGTGGCAAAATGCCTCCCCCTCCAAGTGAAAAAAAAAACTTTGTTTTTTAGGGGGGTGGTTGAAATCGGAGTTTTTTTACTTGGACAGGGAAGCATTTTGCCACATTTTTGATACTTCCCGGATGCAAAATGGTGTGTTTTTTGCATCCGGGAGGTATCAAAAATGTGGCAAAATACCTCCCACTTCAACAAAAAAAACTCCGTTTTGAAATGCTCGCCCTTCCCCTCACAAAAAGAGCGGCGCACGTCAAACTGGGATAACCTAAAACAGTCCGGTGAATGGATTGGCAATTTGCCAAAAAAAACGCGAAAAAAAGTTTTAGCGGGGAAGAAATGGGGAATTTTTGGGGCGAGAGAGTACGCTTTTGCGTGTCTTTTTTCTCTCTTTCTCTGCGAAATCAAGACGAAGTGTAAAAAACCGATAGCGAAGGGTCTATTCCGGCCCCAGACTCCTCAGTTTGACATAAAAAAGCCTTTGAAATCGGAGTTTTTTCACTTGAATAGGGAGGCATTTTGCCACATTTTTTATACTTCCTGGATGCAAAATTATACGTCCTTTGCCACTGGCCCCCAACTATAGATCACAAATTTTTTTTAAAAAGTTTTTTCTCGAAACATTTGTTCTGCCCCTCTGCAAGTCGCTGTTTTGCAAGTTCGGAAAGCCTTGAATGTCCCCGCGATTAAAACGTAACA